ATTCTCCCCTCGACCTTCCCAGCCACCCAAGGTCATATTCTTTTTCCCTCCTTAAAACAACAAAAACAACAAGCATAGTCTTGTAGTGAGACATTCACTTTTTCTGCTTCTGTGGCACTGACCACGCCCATTGGGGAGTGGAGCCAGGGGCAGAAGTGACCTGTGGAACTAGGTCTCAGGAGGATCCTGGGAGTGCTCTTTTGCTGCCAGGATGCAAAGAGGAGAGCATCCATGGAACCTGATGGTGCTCATCTGTCTAGGTTGTAAGTCATTTCTCCCTGAATAAACATCTATTCGGCCTACTTGTTTATCCTGATCCTTATTAAACCAAAGTAGAGTCTGATTTGTGCTGGTCAACTACCCTAGCATGTGACCTGCCTGAAGTATGGCTGATATACTCAGTGTTATTACATTGAAGAAAACTGATTTCCCTCTCCCAGAAGCTATCAATTGCAAATAGCTCACCTTCCCTTCTCCTATACTAGGAAAACAATGTTTTTTCTTTGTGAGACAGTCTCAACTGTGTATCCCTGGAGGCCATAGCCTAACTGACTGACTGGCTTCGAACTCACAAATACAGGTGCCCATCTCTTAACTGTGAGGATTAAAAATATGCACCAACATGCCTGGCTCTAGCTCATTAACTTTTAAAAACATAGGAATATTAAGTTTACACAATTCATTGGCAAATTATTACTTATCTTCCTTGTTTTATAGTCTGGGGTGGCTCCTCCACAATATAAGTTTCCAGAGTACCTTTGTCTTACGCTTTTATCACGTAACAGGAAATAAGTAGAATACTTCCTCCTCATGCATACACATCTTCCTCACTGTTTCTACCTACCGTATACTAGCTTGGACAATGAGAATCCAGTTTCATATAACAATACATGTGAATAACCTACTTCCATGCAAGTGTGAGAAAACAACCCTGGACACCTGTCTCTGAGGCTCACCTTGGACCCAGAAGCCAGTCTGCCTCCGAGCTGATCGTACTTTAAGCTGGTGATAGCTGCTTTGTGTCCATTGAAGGTTATGTTTCCTTCACCACTGAGTAGGCTGAAGATTCGGATTGATCCATCCTCATAGCCAACAGCCAGATGTAGCCCATCTGGGGAAGGACACAAGCAAGTGACTTCATGTTTAAGTCCTTGAAGGATAAGGATCTGAAATCATAAAAATCAAAACCAATGCAGAAGAGTGAGGCATGTATCAAGACATCAAAGTGGGAATGATTTCAGTAATACAGTAAGTACCAATAATTTATAGTCACTGACACACAATGATAAAATCCTACAAGCAAAGACAATGACATCCTCAAAGGTAATCATTTCCTCTCAAGCTTGACATTGGTATACACATGCAAATTATCCAGGCAATGAAAATAAGTTACCAAATTTTCCTCTTAGTGAATTTTGGTAAAGGGCTATAAATCCATCCTTGTTTTAACACCTCATGGCACTACAGTACTAGCGGTTTCATCCCAAGAGGCTCTGGGTACCAACAAGTATCTATCTATCTATCTATCTATCTATCTATCTATCTATCTATCATCTATCTGTCTGTCTATCTATCTATCATCTATATGTCTGTCTATCTATCCATCTATCTTGGGAGTCACATAGTAAATAGGGATGAATCAAATTATCTCTATGTGCTTAGCAAAAAGGAATACCTTCAGTCAGGTCAAAGCAGAACTCTGCAACTACTGGATCTTATTGGCATATATAACAAAAGGACACTCCACTGACACAGCAGAGTAACACTCCTTTTAAAATCCTAATACTTTACAACTGGCTGTGTGTACAAGCAGAACTTGAAAAGTAGAATCTGTACACAAAAGTAAAAGTGAATAAGAGCTAAAACTAATGACCTATGTATACTAACACAAACATCTAAGAAGCAAGTTTGGCTGTGATTTTCAGAACACAGCTGAATTTGGTGCTAGCTGTCTAGAAGCAAAGGGACATGATCTCTTGAGGGCTCATACAGAAATTAATGCAGGTAGGCTAGACAGGGCTCTTCTACTCCAAAATTAATGTCAACTTACTCATTTCTGACTCACCTTCTCGCCCTTTCTCAAGTCCCAGATAAAAACGTGTTCACAGGCAGGTACTGCCACATAGCGTCCTTTCTCTCCACGAAGTGTCACAAAAACAATATTACCTTTTTGGCTGCCAATCAAGCCAAAGACAGCACTAGCCACATATCGGAGATACTGTTTGGTAAGCCCCATGTTAGGATGTCTGAAGCCACCGGGAAGGCAATCTGTGTATAGAAACAAAATTTAGGTTTTGGAGTACACTGGCTCTGGGAGGCTAACAAACACAAACTATTTTCTATGTGGTCAAAAGCATATAACCTGGCTCATGGTATATTATTTGCTACACAAGCATGGTCCCCAGCACCCACAAAAAAAGCTAGGCACAGAGCAATGTGCATATGATCCCAGCACTCAGAAGGTGGAGATAAACAGATCCTTGGAGCCTAGGGTCAGTCTAGAAGAATCCATGAACTCCAAGTTGAGAGAGACCCTCTGTGAAACAGAGGGAACCCTGAATGAATGTGTCCAGTTAACATAAGCACAGCCATGTCAAGGACTTATCTGCCTCAGACACATGAGAATGGCAACACCTTCCTCTGGTCCAAGCGGGAATGTTTATAGTGTTCTAGAAAATGTCCACTGTAGCTTTCTTGCCCCATATTTACAGCTTGAAGACTGCTCCTCTAGAGACTGCTCTTTCTGAAATTAGATAAACCTGTCTCCTTTTTAGGCTGCAAATAACCCTGTCTCCTTCTTTAACTGTATGTAATAACCCCCTCCTTCCTGTTTAACTTAATGTAACAAACACATTGAACTTCTGGAGTGTTATAGCTTCTCCATCCAAGAGTCCAGACCACCTGATCTCAGGTTTTCTGTATGTGTGTCCATGTGTCCGTCTTTCTTCATCCCGTTTCCCCCCCAGTCAGGGTTCTAGGGCCCAAGCCATACAAGGACTGGGCACCATGTCTCAAGAAATAAGAAAGACACTCCATATAAACCTCTTAGTTTATACACACACACACACACCCTCCTCCACATACACACACTTATATGAACATGTGCATATGCAAATCTAACAACATGCAACTTGTAAGTTCTTTAGTTTTACTTACTCTGAGTAAATCACTGACCTTACTCAATATATAAGCCCTCATGCCTCGAGTATTAAACTGTTTACACTGACACAATCACCTCAAGAATATCTAACATAAAAGCTTCATGGCAGCCATACAATTCTCTTTTTGCCCTGCCTGTCAACCACTACCAAAGTTCTGGTAATGAAATTGTTAGCTGAGACTAGATGGTTTCGCCACTGATTACTGTAAACCTGGCTCCATTCCACCCACCGTGGAAATCTAAATTAAGCCAAAAAAGATGAAGGGAAGGGTTAAGAATGCAGTGTGGCTTGCCTAGCACACTAGAGTCCAGGGTTCAAATGCCAGTGCTAAAAAAGCCTTGTGTGGTGGTGCACAGATTTAATCTCAGCACTGGGCAGACACAGGGGCTCAGAAATTCAGGGTCACCCTCAGATACATAAGGAGTCCAGGGCCAGCTTGGGCTACATAATGACCCTGTCATCCATCTCATAAAAGAAACAAAACAAAAACTCAATTCTTCTGCAATTATTTTTACTCCTCCAACTTAACTGAAGTTGCTCATCAGACAGCCTTCTTCAGGATTTCCAGTACACCATGTTGAATGATGCTCGGGGACTCCCATATCTTTATTTCTAGTTTTGTCCAGATCCATGAATAGAGTGCCAAGCACTTATAGGACATCCCTTCTTGAACATTTTACATGACTACCTTACCTCCTAAACCCCTCATATTAGTTTGCTTTAAAACACACGGTCTCCCCAACTATCAGGGTTTAAAACTTTTCAGTAACCCTTGATTCATTAAAAAAAAAAAAAAAAAAATCAGTCCAAGATACAGTAAATGATTTATTGTGCATAACACATGCAGCTCTTTAACTGCATCAAGTAACTACATTAGTAAAAGCAAAACACTAGAAAAGTGCTAGTACATTGCAAACATGTACACAAAACTTCTCTTCGATAATAGAAGAGGCAATTTTAAATCTCCATTTTACACACAAGGATGACTAACGGAGATGCTGAACAACTACTTCAAAATCAACCGGAAAGCACCAAAGCCAGGCTCCAATGTAGCCAATCTAACTTCAAATTTTCTGCTTTTAATCGCCACGTTAAACTCGTCTCTCCTATGTCTGCCATCTCCTTTGACTGTTTACCTGAATAGTATCCGTTTTTCTCTTCGCAGCACTTTCATTCCAAGCTTGTCTTTACTGAGTTGCTGCATTGCTTTTCCACCTAGCACTTCCACTGCCGTGCTTTTCATTCGCAGTTACACTATCTCTCAAACTTAGCGTTTTCAATGCACTGCTCCCACCCAAGGGCTTTAAAGGGCTAAGCCGTTTGCCAAATGCAGGGGCCCGCGGGGACCCAGTTACTTTAGCCAGCTGCTTATTTCTCAAATAACTTCTCTTGCTTCCCTTCCTCCTACCTGGTCATTCTCAAATTATCCCTTCGCCTACTCTTCTAAGTTTCTATTGCACATCACCTCCCAGAAAGCCTCAGGAAAGTCGGGTAGTTCCGGTGGCCTCGCACCCGCCGGCCCGGGAGCAGCCGTGCGGCCTCCGGGTTGTGTGGTGCAAACGGCCGCGGAAACAGGACTACCCCCGGCTTTCCTGGCTCCCACAGCACGGAGTACTGCGCCGCATCGGTCCATCCAGAGAACCATAGAGAGGGAAGGAACCGCGCCCCGCAATCTGCAAGCCTCCAGCAACACTCACCTCTGCCTCCACGAGGCTCCGGGAGCCAGCACCGCCCACGGGACCTTCCCCTTCCGGTCCGGTTGGGCGTTTCTTCCGCCCGGCGTTCCCATTACCTTCTCTGGCGGAAGTGACGACAGAGCGCTGTGATTGGGCGGCGTGGGCAAGAGGAAGCGGGTACCTTTGCTGTCAGAAAGCTGAAGCTAGTCATCCCGGCCTCTGGAGATCCACTCCCTTCAGCCTCCGCTTCTGGCAGCCTTGTGTGCAGATGTCACCTGCCCGCTTTCTGCAACGGAGCTGAGCTGCCGGCCGCCGCCCGGATGGGCCCGCCCGAGCGCGGTGAGAGGCGGGCAAAGCGGGGAGGGGAGGGCGGCACGGCCGGGTGCGGCGGCTGGGAGGAATCAGGCTGGCGTGTCGGGTCGGCCCGGGCTTTGAGGCTCGCCCCCAGGGCAGGTTTGGGTGTGGAGCCCTGAGGCGCTCGTCTCGGGATGCTGGGACGCGCTCTGTGGCGGGCAGCCCTGCGGGTGACACCTCAAGTCAAGTCTAGTCCTCCTTGTATGTAGAGTAGATTGCTCCCGCTGTGGGCAGACGCTGAGCCTAGGATGCTGAGTTGTCCGGGGACCCTGCAGTCCCTGGAGTGACATTGGCCTGGCTTTGTGTTTCCGCTCTTAGGCCATTTGAGAGGGAAGTGACCCCGGGCTGGCCTGTCCTTGATTGCAGACTGAGACTGAGCCTCTGTTAACAAGAGGGAATTTGCTTTTCTGTCTTTCACTTCTGCCCTCTTCTATCCTCGGACCGTCTACAAGTTTTTTAATGAGTTCCGATGTCTGTATAGAACTGAAGCAGGGATATAACTATGAAAAGAAGTAACTCCTGCAGCCAGCCTAGAAATTACACAGGTGTAGTTGACAGGTAGATTTGTCTTCCTGCTTAGTTTTTAGGAGTTGTTTACCAGGTATAGTTATTTTTTTTTTCATAGTTTAGAAAATGTTCAGCTCATCTATATTTTAAAAAAATTTGTTTTAGTGGAGACACATACGACGTCGTTGTAGCAGCCAGCATAGGTGTTTTAAAACAAGAATACATTTGTTGTGAGTTGGATGAATGAGAAAGCAAGAAATTGTGTCAATAGATTTATTTCAAGCAGGGGTGAACATTTGAATAGGTGTGTATATTCCTTACCTCTTATAGATGCTGTGCATTATTTTGTTAGAGGTGGAAAAATGTATACTTTGGTGGTAAAGTAGTTTAGAATCTTTCAGGCCAGTCCAACCTATAGACATTGCCAATTGATATTGTCATCTTTAATCATGGGATCAAAACCAGGCTTGATTCATAATTTTAATCCCAGCAATCAGAAGGCAGCCTAGTCTAGATATGGAGCACTAAGACAGCACATTTCCCCACTTCGAGACAAGTTCTCACTATGTATCCCTGAATGTTCTGCAACTATGTAGACCCTACTGTCCTTGAATTCACAGAGCCTCTGCCTCTGTGCTGAGATTAAAGGCGTGCCTCTCCAGGGCAGGCTAAGAAAGCACATCTCAAGTCTTACACGTTTTTTTATCTGCCACTTCAAGGACAGCTTACATTCTTATCTAAGCTTCAAATTGCTCACTGAATGAAGACTTGCAAACTGAAGTCTGCTTGGTTTGTGTAATGCCTATGTGGCACAGCTAATTCACCATTAGAGCATATACTTCAAGTGTTTTTGAATGATGATGTTAAAGTTTACCTGGGACCATGGATGAAGCTTAGAAATCTTTTTTGTTGTAATGTGCTTATTGCTACTGTATTTGACCATTGATATGTGTACATCTGAGCAGTTTTTCATTTGCATAATATAACTTTTCAAGTATAATTGATTTGGCACAGGGATGGGTGTGGTATGTACATTCATCCTTATATATCAGGAACTTTTAGATAATGAAATACAAAGCCATAAAGAGTAATAAACCTGCAATCATCAAAAGCAACAAACAAGCTGCTTAGTTATCAGAGGTCAGATACCTGGTTCAACTCTATGTACTTTCCAGACCTGTCTCATCTGTATGAACAATAGGCAGCTTGTCATCTTAGAGATCCTCACTTTCCGTTTTGAAATTATATCATCCTTTTTTTTTAATTTAATTTTTTGAGACAAGATTTCTCTACATAGTTCTGGCTATCCTGGAACTATCTATGTATTCCAGACTGGTGTCAAACTCACAGAGTTCCACCTGCCTCTGCCTTTAAAGTTTTGGGATTAAAGGTGTGGGTCACCATTCCTAAATTGGTTCCATTCTTACTTGTTTGAAAATTAGGTTTTGAAGCCAAGCGGTGGTGGCTCATACCTTTAATTCCAGGTAGAGGCAGGCAGATCTCTGAATTCAAGGCAAGGCCAGCCTGGTCTACAAGAGCTAGTTCCAGGACAGGCTCCAAAGCTACACAGAGAAACCCTGTCTCAGAAAAAAAAAAAAAAAAAAAAAAAAAAAAAAAAACAACAACAACAACAAGAGCAACTGAAAAAGGAAAATTAGGTTTTGAGGCAGTGATTCAAAGTCTTCTTGCCTAATACTACCCAGTCTTGAACAGTAATTCCTGGGCAATTCAATTTTTTTTTCTATAAATCATTATTTAAGCTAATGAAGACAGGATATAGGGGGGAAATAAACTACAAAGAACTGTTTGTAGTGTACTCTTGGACTTATGAAGAATATTTAGTAACTTCTCTTTGTTTGGAATTCTTTTCTCTTAAACTAATGTAGAAAAAAAAAGTATTTGGCCTGATACTTAGATGTGATCTATTCTGGAGTCCAATAACTTTTTGATATGAGAATATGACTCAGGAGTCAGGAGCCTGCTTACTAAACTGTAGTGTTTGCAAGCTTTTTCAAAGTCCAGAACTGACCTATTATTGATTTCCAGTGGGAAAAGTATTTTCCCCTTAATGTTACCTAAATTCTGGCTAAGGTTATAGATCACTGTAGTCATCTCTCTGTCCTGTCCCCCCTTATCATCATGTCCATGTCCCCTTCTTGTTTTCAACTTGTCCCTAGATGTATGCATATTTGTGTTTGTATGAGTTCTTACACACACATTATATGGGCTGAGCGGGTTTTTCTCAAGTTACTATCAAAGGGACCTATGACCGCAGGCCTTTTAGAAACAAACTCCTGTGCTTTGGGGTTTAGGTCTCTGCCATCTTTGGGTTTGCTGCTCCACTTACTTTCTCACATGGGGCGGAGGGGATGACACAACTGTGACCATAAGTCTGTGTTGGGGGCAGGTGGGACTTAAATCTCCCTTTAATGAGGAACTACTCTGTGGAGTAGGGATGGAGCTGCAAGAGAATTTAACCATATTAACTGCCAGGACACTTTCCAGAATGTGAGCATTAGTTATCACTCGCTTAACACTCATCTTGTGGATCACAATGCCTCCAGTAGCTGGAGCGATCCAACAAACCATTCGGACTGGCTATGATTGGACACATAGGAGAGCTACCAGAGTGCACAGCAAAGACAATAATAGGATTTCAAGGAGAAAATGGTCAGCTGAAGTTTCTGTTGTCTTTGAAGTCAGAGCTGTAATCACTGTTGAGCTGAAGGAAAACTGCAGGAGATTGAATAAATGAAAGAGGAAGAAGCAAAACTCTGAAACAATTACTCAAAAGTGAAGTGGTGACTGGAACATTCTTTCACTCTTCTCGCCTTGCTGCTCAAGTGTGAGGACTGAGTTCGGATCCCCAGCACCCATGTAAAAAGTTATGATGTGCACCTAGAATTTCAGCGCTGGAATGAGGGAGACAGGAGGATCCTTGAAGTTTTTTTTTTTTTTTGTTTTTGTTTTTTTGTTTTTTTGTTTTTTTTTCTGAATCACTGAGCTTCAAACTCAGTGAGAGACCATGTCTCAGGAAGTTAGTTGAATGGGCAACTGAGGAAGGCTCCTGATGTCGTGATGTCGACTTCTTACCTCCATCCACATGCTTACACATGTCCATGTATACATACACTGTACACACTCACACAACAAGAAGTAGTGAGCCAGGCCCAGTGGCACAAACCTGAGGTCCCAGCTACCCAGGAGGCTGAGGCAGGAGACTCTGGTTTCAAGGCCTACGTGAGCTAGAGTGAGCAAGGCGAGGCTGGGCAACTTAGGGTGCTCCATCTCAAAATAAAGAATAAAAAGAGGGCTGGAGATAGAGCTTGGTGGCAGTATTTGCTTAGCATGCCTGAGGCCCTAGGTTCAATCCCAGTACCACAAGGGAGATGTTTCTGTGGTCTTAAGAGGAAATGAGGGAGAAGGATTTTCAAGAGTGGGAGGATTGGGAGAGCAGAGAGGAAGATGTTAAAGGAGAATTGATATTATTCTTGTGAAGGGCAGCTGGTAAAGTGCTTGAATTAAGCCCCTTTGCTGGCTTAAGCATGCAGAATATGCCCTGAGATCACTCAGAAGTTGGAAAAGGGCATGAAGATGGACTTGGAACTGTGGAGAAGTTAGTAGTTTGAGCAGTAGGAAGAGAGCAAAGGGAGTAGCATGGACCAGGACCAGTATGCCCTGGGTGTGGCCTCAACATCCACATGGTAGTTACAGATCCGTGGGCTGGTACTGTGCCTCTTGAGTCTTAGTACCTGCTGTATGAGAGTGTTGTAAGGATTAGAGAACATATTTATAACATGTCCTCTGTGCCTGTCACATTGACTGGGAATGCAGTAATGCCCCAAACTCTTATGTACAGCTCTCAGAATTACTTTCATTTCTGTGTAAAACTCTTCTGCTGTTTTTGGTCTTACTGCCACTTTCCAAAGGGGACAATCTCTGCTTCTCTTGTCTAAATTAGCTATCTCCCCTGCCTCCCATTTGTCATAGCACATTTATCACACTGTTTGTGTGATTGTGTGGCTTTGTCTCTTCCACTAGACATTCAGTATCCAACATTCTTGAATGAATGGATGCCTGGAACATAATAGACCAAGAAACGTTTATTTTCTTGCAGATTTTACAGGTCAGGAATTCAAAAGTAGCATTACTGCATTGTTACGTGGTTCTGATTCAGTTTCTCTTATGAGGCTGCAGTGGAAACACTGGCTATGGCTGAAGTAGTTTTTAGACCAGCTAAAGCCAGAGGATACACACTTCCACAGTGGTTTAAAAGCCTGTGCACAGTGTCAGCTTTTGGCTGACCCTCTGTTCCTCCTCCAGCTGAAGGCTAACCCCTTTAGAGCACAGTGTGTGTGTGTGTGTGTGTGTGTGTGTGTGTGTGAGAGAGAGAGAGAGAGAGAGACAGACAGAGAGAGAGAGCAAGGCATGGGCACAGTGCTCTTTCTAACTATCTTTAAAAGATAGTGGTTTTAAAAGAAGCCACACCATCATATCACATACCACTCTTCATCCTATCTTCTTGGCTACATAGTTTAGCCCTGAGTAGTGCAGGAAGAAACGGCAAAGTATGAGAGCCCAAAGGTGAGTGTCATAGAAGGACATTGTAAAGGTTGTCTGTGTAGGTGCTGTACAGAGTCCCTGGCAGAGTTGATGTGAATGAGTAAAGCAGTAGTGATGATGTAGGAACATGCAGTGAGGTGAATGAGTAAAGCAGCTAATGTAGGAGCATGCAGTCAAGATTGCTGACTGTGTGGGTTCTTCCTCCTAATGGCACAGGAACAGATGTTGGGTTATTTAGGGATTAACAAGACATGGCAAGGGAAATCGTGACATCAAGATGGGTGAGACTATAACTTAGTTCAACACCCAACATTTAGCTTGCATGGTGATTTGACAGTGAATACTGTGAGTCTTTGCTGCACGTGGAATGTGACTTCCTCTTGACAGTGGTTCCACTGGCCCTGAGGACATCTTAAGAGGTAATTCATTGTGCCTTGCTGTATGTCAGGTGCTCTGCTGTGTGGTTTCAGCACAGTTTGTTGCATTAGTCTTCACAATTAGCCTGAAGTTAATCACCACTGCTTAGATAGAAACTCTAGCTTTACCCCAAGGATCACAGCTCACAGATTGTGAGTCAGGGATCCGAACTTAGGCCTTGACACACAGGGTCTCATGACTTGCATTCATTGTGTCACCTTGCACTGTTACACTGTGTGATTGAGTGGGGACACTATCACCTGACAATAGTTAAGCTAGGACAAAGTTATGCACACAATATGATTTTACCTCTATCATAGGAAAAAAAGGAGAACTACAACAAATTTGAAGTTTTTTCTTCATTTAACTTTTTGCTGATTTTTCAAATGTTCTAGAAACAGGTGTTAGACTCAGAAATAGAAGTTAAAGAAGCAATTTCATCCTGAAAGTTGACATGTGAATTTGTAATCTAGAAATTATTTGTGTTCCATAAATTTTCTCTTTCCCTCTCCTCTCTCTTCCCTCCCTCCATCCTTCTCTCCCTCTCTATTACACTATGGCTAAGAACTTTGAAATGAATCAGCATGTATTCTGCAATCAGGAATTTCTGTAGACAGTCATTACGTTGAGTGAGTGGCATTTGTCCTCTGTTCAGTTTGCCTGCAGCAAGTCTGAGTACTTGTAAACATGTAGCAAAGTTATGCTTGCCTCGAGGGTCAAAGGCCAATTGTGAACTAAGTACAACATTCTAGAAAAAAACAATTTTAAAGAAGTATATAGTATAAATATTGAACAGTAATACAAATTATCCTGGTATAATCTACAAGATCTTTTTTTTTAAACTACTGTGTGAATGACCACACTTCTTACCTAACAATGTGAATAGAAGAATTAGCATATTCTGATGGATCCATGCTTCTACTTAGTATCTGTGTCTCTTGCCAAGAAACACCAATAAATTAGTTTTGGAAGAGCGTGTGTGTTCTCCCTGAGTGTGACAATTATTAATGTTGGTATTATATCAAAAAGCTTTTTAAAAACTAGTTGCAGATTGATTTTCTTCCCTCTTCATCTTGAACCTACTTGGTCTTGGTCCTTTGGTAGCAATCTGCTCTGGCTGTCTTTCTGAAGCACTCCCTGAATACCCTCTTCTGTTACCTTCCACTACCACAGTTCTTGGGCTTCCTTCCTTTCTTACGAGCCTTCTCTCTCCCATATGGTCTCTCTTGGTATACATTTTGCTGTAGGACTCAGTCCTGGGAGTTCTTTCTCCCTGTTTGCAGTTGCTCTGCAGGAGATCTTACCTAGTTTCTGTAGATTTCAACACTGCATGTGCTGTGACTTCTAGACCTATTTGCTGAACCTCTGCTCTGAGCTCTAGCTTCAAGTATCCATTTGTTAATTTGACAATAAAAACAGATAGGTAATGAACATTTTGAATCAGCACATTCAAAAAGCCATATATGGGAGGGGGAAATCCATTGTTTTTCCTTCACCTCACAGCTTACTCCAATCTTGCTTTTCTGTTGCTCAAGCAAGCAACTACTATCCTACTCAGTTGCTCAAGCAAGCAAGCATTGTCTGACTTGTGTGTTTCCTCACCCTCTGTATTCCTACAAAAGTCCTTTGGTTCTACCTGTCAGTTATATCTCAAGTCTGACATTCCTCCTGGCCACTATCTCTCCTAAATTCCTGCCTGGTTTTTTTTTTTTTTTTTTTTCTACTGCTACCCTTGCTCTCCCTAGCTAGAGTTGTCCTTTCACCAATTGTATTTAGTTGTAATGGTTAGACCCTCTAGTGGCTAACCTCATCTTTAGAGTAGGAAATAAGAATTTTAGTATGGTTTACAACTGCATCAGCTGGCCTTGCTGATTATCTAATTCATTATCTAACCTCATTATCTAATTCATTACCTATTAATGAATTAGATTAACCAGCCAGAGTGACTTCCAGGCTCTTCCCGAACTGCAGCTCACTCGTTCTTGCCCTTTGGTCTTCGCCTTGGTTTTCTCACCTGTCCTGCTTTTTCAATTGAACTTGTTCCTCATGTTTCACTGTTTCTCTGTGATGCACAGTCTAGTTACACCGTTATCATCACCTTTCTTCTCTGTGGACATGTGGGCTCTCTAAGGTAGAATTGCACTGTTACCAGTGTTCACGGGGATAAGAGACCTGCTCCAGCTCCTACCCAGGGTTCCAAAGGTGAAATGTTTCTCAGGGGGAAAAGAGGGGTAAAAGATTTCTATAGTAACTTCACACACAATCTGAGAGCCATGTTCTTTATTTCATGTGCTTTTTATTGTTCTGTTTCTACCCTGATAGTCTTGCCCTACTTCCAACTTCTCCATGTTTCTTCATTTAGCTCTTCTATTCTAAAATCTCTTCTCCTTCAGGAGTCTTGAAGTGATAAAGAAGTTTCTATCTTTGGTCAAAAGTACATTCCTAGAGGAAGCGATAAGCTGAGCCATTTACCATGACAACACAAGGGTCCAAGGCCATAGGAGCAAAACCATGACAGACAGGGAAGGGCACAGTGCCCAGTGGCAACTTTAAGACACAGATCTATTGTCAGTAGACTGGCAGGTGAAGAATTAGCATGCTTTTCTTAGTGACCTTGGTAGACATTTGTGACTCTGACCTTGTGGGAACTGTAAAGTTTTCTTTTTACAAAAAATCCTTTAGTCTAGTTTGAACTTGCTCTGAGGTGAAAGTGTGCAGTAGTCTGAACAAGAGAACAAGGCAGGCTGTTAAGAGTTAACACTAGTTAATGCCTGCTGTATTTCTCATGGCTCCTGACATAGAACAGTACCTAAGATACAGCCAGTGCTTACAAAGGTAGAGTAGATGAATGAGTCTACAGTTTCCTGAAACAGCTATAGGATTCTATGGTAAGTTGAGCATCCCATTCTGTGGTGGAATTTTCTATGACCTAGGTCCAGCTGTAGATGCTGTATGCCTTCCTATAACCTTCTTCTTCCAACTTTTATACAACTGTCTACCACATGCAGTCCTATATTCCCTATCTTGTATGTTGTTAGATCCTGTTCATTTTTCCTCTTCATGTTACTTCTTTTTTATGTGCATGTCTATGTATGGCCCGTGCATATAAGTGCAGGTAGCAGAAAAGGGCATCATATGCCCTAGAGCTGGAGTTATAAGAGCTTGTAAGCTTCCCAACGTAAGAGCTGAGAACCAAACTCAGATCCTCTTCAGGAGCAGTATATACTCATAATTGCTGAGCCGTCTTTCTTGCTCTCATGTTGCTTCTTAAATCCAAGCCTCTTCTACCTTGGTTGAAAATTTTATTAGCTCTTACTACTTAAATATAGCAATTTCCTTGTCTCATTCAATGTTACTAATATATCCACATTATTATCAGATGGAATTCTTTAATTTATACATGTTTATCAATTTATATCTTATAGCATATCATAGAACATTATACTTACTTATTTTGCAATAGTGGATGCTCAGAGAATGTTGAATGAAGAGTCCTTTCTGAAAAATAGAACTGGTGGGGTTTGTGATGATTTTGATCATAGAGGCTGCAGTTATTGAACATAATTTATGTATTTATAACCTCCCATTCCCATTTTTTAAAGGAGTTTGTTGCTGTTCTTGTTTTAATCAACCATTTCAGTGATTGGGGATACATAGTGTACTCCTAGCTCATTCAGTTCCACAGCAGAGTTCGCAACGCTGGTTTAACAGAATTAAAATAATATTTGTGAGTAATATTTGTGCTTTTGGTTTAAAATGTTCCCTTTTTTTTTTTTTTTTTTTTTTTTTTTTAGCTAAAGTCTCCAGGGATTGTTGAATTGCTGCGGAGTTTGAGGCAGAAGCTGAAGTTCCCATTCCATGGATCCCTTGGGTGCACCTTCCCAGTTTGTGGATGTGGACACCCTGCTAAGCTGGGGTGACTCGTATAAAGATGAATTAAACTCCTATGAGAGCACAGCTGCGACATTCCAGGAGGACATCATCAGATCGCCTTTTCTTTATAATCAGGACATTAATGGAAAAGTGATTCTTTGGTAACTTTTTCATTATATCTTACTGTATGAATTCTCATTATTTTCCTTTAAGGCTCTTTTATTCAAGTTCTAGCATTATTGAAATACTGCTTTTACACATACAGCCTTATTGGGATATAATTATCATACAATAAACTGTACAGATTTAAAAGGAACAGCTTAAATGTTATGTTACTGTATGTGTGGAACTGTGAAGACCTCCCCACAGTTAAGACAATGATAGTCCCATTTGGGCATTTCAAATACATGAAATTTCCACAGTAAAATATGCGAGATTTTTGAACATAGTATAATGTTTTCACTGTAGTGTAAAGTACTACTTTTTTCTTTCTTTTTATGGCTCAATATTACTCCATGTTTGCACACTAAGAGCACACTTCTCAGCTCACTAGTTGATGGACAGTTAAGTTGTTTATATTCTTTTGGCTATTATGACTAATGCTATTTCTAAACTTTTTAAGCCGACTATTTTCAACTGTATAAGTGTTACATTACAATTAAGGAAATATAGCAAGGGGCAAATGTATGACATGATTGCTTTGTGAATTGTGGGGCTGGAGCAAGTTACAATAAAGCTCTAAGGTGCCAGATTGATTTGAGTCAGGCATTTTCTCCTGTTTCCACTTTTCTGCTATTACTTGACTTGTGAATTAGCAAAGCTGATATTGCAGAAATACAAGGTTTAGAACTAGGCCAGTTCTCTCCCTCGTCTTTCCCACAACTGCTTTTTCTTGGTCCCTCAGGAAAGGAGATGTGGCATTACTGAACTGTACAGCCATTGTGAACACCAGCAATGAAAGTCTCACAGATAAGAATCCCGTGTCAGAGAGTATCTTCATGCTTGCGGGGCCAGACTTGAAGGAGGACCTACAGAAACTTAAAGGTGACTGGATGCTCTTAGGCATGTTATTGTTAGGGAATACTTTGATGTCTTCTACCACGAAGAAGTCTGTTGGGTGTTTTTGGAGAAAAGTATGTATAGAAAGCTGATTTTCTGTTGCTGAAACCAGTGGCCTTTGCAATCCCCAAGGTACATGAAAAGCTGGGCCCTAAGATTTCACAAGCAGTGCAACTCATCAGTCATATGCTGAATTTTAAAATGACAGGCTAGCTCGCTTTCAACTTGATACAGGCTAGAGTTACCTAAGAGGAGGGAGCCTCAATTAAGAAAATGCTTTCATAAAACTGGGCTGTACTCAAGTCTATATGACATTTTCTTAATTAGTGATTGATATGGGAGAGCCCAGTTCATTGTGGGTGGGGCTACACCTGGGCTGGTGATCCTGGTTTCTTTAAGAAAGCAGGCTGAGCCACCCATGAGGAGCAAGCCAGTAAGCAGAGACCATGGAGTACTAGAAGGGCTGAAAAAGACTTTAATCAAAACTATAACAAGATGTCATAAAAACAAAGGGAAATTAGAAAAGATCTTTAAGAAAATACTGAAAAGTTCTTTGATAAAAGTAACAGAGAAGCTAATCTGGAAAAACCCCATATGGGGTATGCAGGCACATGCATACTCAGATGAGACTTAAAAATACAGATAGTGGAAAAGCTAACATGATTTTACACATAATATATCACTCTTAAATGTAATGTTTACCTATAAAAACCAAAACCCAGAATTTAACAGACTATTTGGCAGTTGTTAGTGCTTAACTGGGGTTGGTTTTTTAACTCTGCCCTGTACTGGTGTGTAACTGGAGACTGGTGTCACTGCTCAGTCCCAGTCTTCTCATCTCTCAAGTCAACATAGTCCTGGTAACCCTGCCTCAGTTCTTGGCACATAGCAAAAATTTAGTAAATAATTTTGATGAGAAAAAGTAGTATCACAAGTAGTATCACACAAACCAGTTGGTATAGTGGATATCAAGTCTGTTACTGCAGGTACCACTAATAAACTAATGCACAGACCAAATAGCATGGTGGACCTCAGGTATGATAGGGAGACATCAGGGTCTGTTGCTTCTGATGCTGCCAGTTAGTTTTTGCTTGACTTGTTTGAAGGACCAGTACCAACCTGAAGAAGTTATCAGTGGCTGCCGTGACACTGTCCCCTTTTCACATTTATTAAATTAGTTAGATTACAGGTTATGACTTACCAGCCTTATGATAGAAAACGAGGGGCAGATATCAAATGAACTGGCTGGAAATATAAGCCAAAAAAACAAAAATTGATAGATACTAATATTATAGCTTACAGTAAATTTAGACTGCTAGACAGGGTCAGGCCAGGGGAGGAGTTGGTTTGACAGTCTTTCTTGCACATTTGAAGTACTTGCTGTCACTAGAATAACATGTCTTCCATTCTGTTTTTTATTCAGAAAACTTTAGAGTTAGCACATTCTTCTTCCTTACTCTTCCCATGAAGTCTGCCATCAGGTCAGAAATTGATTGTGGCTCTGTTTCTCTTCATTACTTCTCCCTCCCCCCCTCCCTGCCGTCTGGTCCCCTACACTTGTTCATTGTAAAATCCATTGTCCACATACTAACTGGTTTTCACATAGCAAACTATGAACCCAACTTCAAACCATTTAGCGATCCCCCAGAGTCCTCGCGCTAGTTTCCAGTACCTGCAAGCACTCTCTCCTCTGTCTGCAATCTCATCCCACACTTGCTTTTGCCTGAAAAACTCAGCACCTGAACCCAGAAGAGCCCTGCTCACCACTTGCTGTCTGAAGGTTGCCTCTGGTTTGTCTTTTGGTCACCCTTCCTCTCTGCTGTTAACTCTCATCTTGCCTGACATCTATTGCCTCTGCAATACACAGATTCCTTTTCCTTCAGAAAGGCCCTTCATTCCATAGAATGTTCTCTTAGCCTGCAAGGCGATGCCTCTCCCCTAACCATGTTGTAGTGCTATGGATTGTTACTTCACAGTAACAATACACAGTATATAGGATGCTGTCCTGAGTAAAGGGTAAACTACTTGTAGGCGGGAAATGCCCAGTGAAGATAACAGCATCATTTTCCTTAAGTAGCTGAGAAATGAAATCCCCAAGGATTTTAATTGAATAGACTTAAAGCTAGTACTCTTACACTGCCTTGTTGAGAACAAATTGTCAGTGCTAAGAGAGGCTGTGCTAAGAGACCCCTGGGGTAGACCATGTGTCTTTTATTATAATTATAGTACTACCTTCAGAGTAATAAACTGGGGCATGCCTAAAAGAAAAATTATCAGCATGTGAGGCATTAGGAGGCACATTCCTGAATAGTTCAAATAACTAGAATTAGCATAGAGAATTTGGAGGAAACACTAGTTATTCTCGAGTACTCAAAGATTTTTTTGAACAGAGAAGGTGATGGCTATTGTGTTGCTGGCATTCCTAGTATATAAAATTATGTTGCAATTTAGCTAGAAGTTTTTTTTTTTTCCCCTAAGAAATAGAGCTTTCTAGAGATGAGTCATGTAAGATTGCGTAGCCATATAGCTAGCCTATTCCAAATCAATATGACTGTCACACTTTGAAAAGTTGTATGAATTGTCATTTATTTTCCATTATAAAGAATTAGAACATCTAGATTCACCAGGCTGCTTATTCCAGCTCAGAGCACATAGCCAGAGCCAGAGAAGCTGGTTGAAGCCTGAGCATGCACTGTGAGGAGATGCTGAGTTGTTGTCTGCCTGCTTTCTTACTCAGTACTGGAGTGTGAATTTGCAGGGGTGGGGATATGTGTACCACATTTTTGCTTGCTGTTTTCTGATTAGCACTCTTTGCTGCAAGAATTCCGCAGCCTCTGTGCTTCATTATTGTGGGGTTAGGACTTGCAGGGAAGTGCACTTGAAATGTTGCCTAATCATCTTTGGTAACCCAGATACTTGATGCTCCTTAGCAGAACATGGAGCCAAGGACAGATGTCACACTGGACAGAACTAGACCAGAGGTAACTGTATTTAGTGAATTGTGTTTATTTCTCAAATTTTAAAAATAAATGCTTTCTAGATGATGTTTGTTTAAATATTTATATCAATATTCAGCTTTCAAGCTTTGGAGTAGAAGAAACTTAGGCTAGAACAAACACAAAAGATAGAGTTAGAATAGCTCTGTATGTCATTATCTCTGGCAACCAGAATTCTTAGAAACAGTGAAAGAAAACTGTTATCCCAGAAGCAAGATACTCACATTTCAACTTCTCTCTTTCTTTCCTCTTTTTTGGGGGACAGGTTCTCATGTACCCCAGGCTGGCTCTGAACACTACCCCTTTTGCCTCTACCTCCCAGTGTTGGTATTACACATGTACCACCAGGCCCAGCTTGTTCTTTTTTTAAACTCTGATGTGAGAAATCTCCACAACAAACTAAATATGTGTTTGTCTGTCACCTACTTTTAAAATTCATGATAATATGCTTCTTTTAACTAGTAATCTTTTAAAAGCTCTATATATGAATTATAAAAAAATAATATGCATACAAGCTAAAGTAACTAAAGCCACGATATTCCCTCTACTAAGATATTACCACTTCTGGCTCATTCTTTACATAGTATGAAGGTATACACATATTCTTAGAGAAATTACATATATACTGCTCTCAAAATTGTATTATATACAGTGTCTTCTTAAGAATATGCATTCTTCAGTTTAGGAATTAGATTTAATAATCAGGCTGTAGGTAACATTTCCAGTTGCCCAGAAATGTCCTTTAAGTTATTTTATCAAAACCTTGTATTCCATCAGAAGCACATATTACTCTGGCTTTTATGTAGTTGATTTCTGGGTTTAATCCAGCTCAGCTTCTTCTTACAATACTGACATGTGGAGTGAACTCACCCAGTTGTTTTCCAAGCTGTCCTGGCTCTTTTATTTTTACTTATGGTACTAGTTAGTCTGTCTCTTCACACCTTCTATAAGGTGCCATGGTCATGGTGCCTTGTCTTAGTAATTTAAAAGTAGGTAAGACACCCACCCAGTCTTCAAAATAGAGTGTAATAGCTGGCTCAAATAGATGACAAGTGAATTTTTTCTGGTTTTCTTGTGTTTTAAAATTCTGTGCATACAGTGTTCTGTGTATCAGTGTATATAGTTTTCAGAGTCTATAGAATTTATAGAAAATAACACCAGGCGTTGGTGGCACACACCTCTAATCCTAGCACTGGGGAGGCAGAGGCAGGCAGATCTCTGTGAGTTCGAGGCCAGCCCGGTCTACAGAGCTAGTTCCAGGACAGCCAGAGCAATACAGAGAAATCCTGTCTTGAAGAAACCCCCCAAAAAGAGAATTTATAGAAAACAATATCTAATTCTTGTGCTTTAGGGCAAGTCCTTGCCACTGTGTAAGTACGGTACTTGGTTCACCTTCTTTTCCTAGCTGTTTGCTGAATTTCCTCTCTTGGCTGTTTTTCCATTTCCTGTTGACTTCTTATTGAGGAAATGAAACCTTCCTCTACTCCATCACATAGAAAGCTCTCATTTCTCCTTTGCCACATTTCTAAACTGCTGTCACAGTTTACATTACATCAGTATTCCATATTAGCATTGTGATCATACAAAATGTTCACAACTAGTAAACAAGTAGATTCTTATTCTCTTTGTACCTTTTCCCTCCATGAAGTTATTAATTGACTTGATTTTATGGAAATAGTTTTTCTACATCTGCCTCTGGTTCATCCTTGACATTAATACCATTGTAAACCTCCTCTTAGTGAAAGTCAGATCAGTTTTTCTTCTAATCTTTTTTTTTCCTTGACAGGGTTCACTTGGAACTTTCCACTGGGCCCTTTCTCTCTAAACTGCTCTGTGCCTACTGCCCTGACAGAGTTTCACACCCTCCTAGGACATCACTTGTCTACCATTAGATGCTGTGTTTTCTATTTTCATGCTTGCTTCTATTTTCATGCTTGATTGGAATTTGGCTGAAAGTCTAATTCTAGTTTGGAAATTGTTTTCTAAAAATTTGAAGGTATTCTTTGCTCTATTGTTTTACTACTTGTCACGAATGTTAGATTCCAGACCGAGTTACTGTTCAGGTTCCAATCCCTACAGCCCCTCCTTAACCTCACAGACAGGTACCCCATGGAGAGCATTGTCTGAATCCCCAGCTAACCCACCATACTTCCAGGTAATCACTTGGGGAAAGGAGTTTATAAGCTGGGACACAGCAAAGGGCCACCTATGGTTCTTGGTGACCACATGTCCCCTTGCTCTCTTCACTGTCATTTGCCAGGGAATTTGAGAGCCTGGCTAAAGGTTTGTATTGAAACCTACCTCCTTCCTCAGAGACCCGTCAGAAGACACTCTGACTCTGCTGTGTGGACCTGATTCCTCCCAGGAGTCCTGCCATGCTGTTGTCTGTCTGCCAATGGTGTATAACTCTTGCAATAAACTTTCACCCCAGTCCATTTTAATGCCATCTTCGAGTCTCAAAATCGAAGGGCTTCAGAGATGGTTCAGTGGTAAGAGCACTTGCTGCTGTTGCCAAGAGCTCTAGTTTGGTTTCCAGCGCTGGCATGGTGGTCACAACCATTTGTAACCCTAGTTCCATAGGGTCTTTCCCTCTCTTCTGTGGGCACTGCATGCATGTAGTTCATAGGCAGGCAAAACACATAATAGAAAAAAATAAATAAAGCAATCTTTCAGTTAGAGAAATCTGATGATATTCTTATTTCAAATTATTTGTGTGCTACCACTTTGTTTCTGGTATGCTGGTACCACTATGATCCCATCTTTATTTCTGAGGTGCTGAAGTTTCATGAGTTATTTTTGTGTGGCTTGTATATTCTGTTTGCCACTCTAGTTTCAGACTTCCAGATCCAAGAACCAGAAGACTTAAATTTCTGTTGATTATAAACCACTTTGTTAGCAACTTGAATGTATTAAGCAGCTAAGCGTTTTGACCCATGCATGTAGTTCCAGTACTCAGGAGGAGGAGATGGAGGAATCTGAGTTTGAAGCCAGCTTGGGCTATATATAATAAGATGAGCCAGTACAGGCTACACAAGACACCACTTTAAAACAAAACAAAACAGGTAAACACATGCACACATGTTCCTTGTGTGGATTGATAGAGGCGAAAAGAAAGACAGGCATCTCCAGAAGCAGAAGTGTTCTTTAATCAGAATGGCGGAAGGGCTGCAGTCTCTCTGTGCATGATTAAGACTGCACACATGTCCTGGGGGGTCTTGTGGTTTTATAGTACAGAATAGGGGGTACTTTGGAGATAGAAGAGTCTAGAAGTGGTAGATAGTAGCAGTAGAAGTGGTAGGTAGCTTCCACAGATGTTACCAGTCACTCACCTTCCTGTCCTGGAAGCCTCAGTCCACGTCGGACTGTTAGGTCATTGACTCATCACTCCTTGTTAGTGTCTCAGTTTCTCCTCCTCAAACAGCAGCATCTCAAGATCACTAGGGTGTGAGGAGTGTGTTGCTAAGTTCTGGGAAATCTCTTGCTTTGCTTTGCTTCCATATTTCTCTCTATGAAAATATCTTATTGCACCTTGTACATTCTTGTTTTTTCTTGCAATTTTTTTGTTCTGCATCTCCAGAGAATAACCTCCATTTCTATTGTGTCAGTGGTAAAGAAATCACAACCTTGCTGTGCTGACTCTGAGAAGGGTTGTTGTTACGAGTAAGGTTTTTCCTGCCAGCCTAGACCCACTGAGGCACCAGCCCCAAATAACACACAGAGACTCTGTATTAGCTATAATGCTGTTGGCCAGTTACTAGTTTCTTATCAGCTAGCTCTGTTTTAATTATTAATCCATTTCTATTAATCTAAGTATTTCCACGTGGTCTCATCTTTCTGGAGAGTGGGCCCGGACCTCTGTTCTCTCCAGTCTCTACCTATTGACTCTTCCTTACTACTCCTCGAATCCTCCTTGTTTCCTAGTCCTGCCTATCTTGCTTTCCTATTGACCAACAGTGCTTTATTCATTAACCAGTATGAGAAACATATTTACAGAATGACATCTCCCATCATCTCTTTTCTGTCTAAATAAAAAGAAGGGTTTTAACCTTAACATAGCAAAATATATCACACAACAGTTATCAAATAAGAATCACAGTTAACAATATTTAGTTCATTAACATTTAGTAAGATTTAAGAAAATATTCCATCATCTATTCTATCTTTGTAAGTCTAAAGTCCTATATGTAATTTATCTTTAATCCTGACTAAGGAAACTAGAACCATAACTATCTGTCTTCAACTCCTTCAAAGACCACAGAAAGATAGTATATAAACTCTAGAAATGACAGAGACAACTCACTGCCTGGTCAGTCACCCAGAGTTCTTCTGTAATCTTCCATCTTCAGCCCATAGGCCATAGTGTGTCTGGCAGACTCTTCAGCAAAGCTGGAAACTTTAAACTGTCTTCTTGTATTGGCAGTTTGCCAGTCACTTTTCTCTGTGTCCTGCAGACTGCCTGGCAGACTCTTCCATGAAGCAGGAACTCTGTAGTCACTTTTCTGTGGGTCCTGCATGTCCAGTTTATACAGCATAAAGTCAAACACTCCAAACAAGAGCAGTATCTTGTCCAAATGGCTAGTATTGCCATATTAGAAGTAAACTTCATAACACGTTTCTTTGATGTCCATCTTCCTTTCTGACGCAGGTGGTGTTGTCAGGAGCATTTATGTCTCATTGTCAAGAAAAACCCTAAACCATTTTAAATGCCATATTCTGTAGGTCTTTGAAAGGTTTGAAGAATGCCTATCTATCTCAAATACATCTCTATGTATCTAGAAAATCTAACTAACTTAACTCTAAGCTTTGACTATCATAGGTAATTATCTATAATCTGTACTACATTATACATTACATTTCTAAATGAGCTATATAGACACAATACCTAAACAAAAGGAGAAATATACTTATCACAAGATTGACCTTAAATTTGTATCAATGAATGAAAATCCATTCCAAAACAAAGTATTCATATCTATATCGTAATCCCCTTTTTACTTTTAAAAAGATATTGGTTGTGATCATTAACCATTTATAACCAACCCCATTTAAATGAAAACAAACATTTATAAACAATATTTGGGAATTTGGGCGTTGTTCTTTCCAAACTGCTTCCTGCTGATAGGGGGCGCTGTCATGGGGATCCTAAGAAGATCCAGAAATCCTGGCTGTAGTCTGATAGTTTTCTCTCCTTTGCTAATCCTGTTACCCATAGTCAGTTGACTTTCCCCTTGCTGTCCTGCCTCACTGCCTTGAGAACAGAAGGAACAGACATGGATGTTAGTATTCAGCCCTGTTTTTAAGTGACATTCCTCACAGTTCTTAATCCGTTGTTTTATGCTTTGCATATTTGTGTTTTTCTAATACTTACAAGATTTTTATGTGTCCCTGTTGTTTCCAGGTTGCCGAACAGGTGAAGCAAAATTGACGAAAGGCTTTAACCTAGCTGCTCGGTTCATCATTCACACAGTGGGACCCAAGTATAAAAACCGCTATCGCACTGCTGCAGAGAGTTCCCTGTACAGCTGTTACAGAAATGTGCTTCAGCTGGCAAAGTATGGCCTGTTCCCCCACACACTGCTAATGATGAAACCTCACTGTGGAAATCAAACTTTGAAGGGCTCAGATACTATCTCTCGAAGAATATGGTTAAATTTTATGTTGATATTATTATCAAATAATACAGTTAACTTGTAAATTTATTGGTGGGGTGGGAGAGATGCAGACTTGCATTTTGAGATTACCTGTGGATAATATATGTCAATAAATGTTTTAGTATAACTTTTATCTTATTGCAGAGAACAGTCTATGTCTTCTGTGGGCTTCTGTGTCATCAATTCTGCAAAACGAGGTTACCCTCTAGAGGACGCCACACACATTGCACTTCGTAAGTAACACAGGAGTGCCACACATAAACTAGGTTCTAAAGTTTTGATTATTAGATAAAGTTACAACCATTCTGAGAGACTTTGCATTGATAGATTACAGAGTTCTTAATTGAATTTCTCAGGGTAGTGTAATTTATACCTGTGCATAGAGACTTATAAGACATGCTCATTAAGTTTGAAAATGATAGCAGTCTACAAAGTACGACTAATGCAATGGACAATTGAGTCAAAATAAGAATAATCTTTAAAAAAAAGAAAAAAATCAAAAGAGAGAATAATCTTAACAGATTGTAAAAATGAAGCAAAATAAATTCTTAATATATATGCATAGCATTTTTCTATTTAGAAAGCAACTTTCACAAGGGCTTCTTTAATATAAAACTGTGTGTTTAGTTTTAAAAATCACTGAGCCCACAGTGTTGTATGTGGTATAAAAGTAGTGTTGTGTTGGCCTCGGGGTATAGGTCAGTGGTAGTGTATGTGCTTAGGATATGTGGATCTCTGGGTTCAGTTCCCAGAAATAAAATCTAGTACTCAGTTTGAGAGTCCATGACCTCAGTGTACTCCATACATTTTAGGTCACTGCTCACAAGACACTGACAAATAAGGACAAGTCACTTGAAGCATCAGTGGTATGCTTTTTTGCAGAAATGATGCCCATGTTCAGATACCTGAAGGGCTGTCACAGTGCTTCAATACATTTTTTTGAGCGATGGTCCTTTATAGAGTTTGGGATATCATCATAATCTATATTGCACATCCATCAAAGAATTAGTCTAAAATAGTGTTCAGAAATACAGACTTTAAAAGCTGTCCTGAGAACTTTACGGATCCTTGGGAAGGTAACAAAGGTGATAGGTAAGCATTGTAACTGTAGACATTACAAGGGAGGAGCTTTGGTTTCTTTGAGATAGAATTGTAGTTTAGTGAGGTTCTTATCACTAGGAACACTGATATAGCACCTGTACACCCTCCTTAAATACTATTATGTGAATTCTCTATGTACATTATTCTGGGTAAATGGTCCAGAGTGTTGCTTCACTGCATAGTAATACCACAGGGCACCGACAGTTTTAAGAATAATTTACAATAACAGATAATCAATAGTGGAAAGATAGGTTTTATTAATTAATTAATTAATTTATTTATTTATTTATTTATTTTTGGTTTCTCTATGTAGTTCTGTAGGCCAGACTGGCCTCAAAGAACTCACAGAAATTTGCCTGCCTCTGCCTCCTGAGTGCTGGGATTAAAGACATGTGCCACCACCACCTGGCTAGGGAGATGGGTCTTTAATAAAACAACTTCTAGGAATGTAACTGGCAGAAAGGAAGCATATACATCTTAAAAGTGACCAAGTCAAATTGTATAAGGGCCATTTCACGTAGACCTTAAATATTGTAAAATTATAGAACATTTTATTCAAAGCAAAGCAAATATACAGACAATAGTATACTTTCTGAAATTTAAAAATAATGGCTTATATACACTTATAGTATATCCATTCTAAAAATTAATCTGTTAACATAATACATCTTCCAAATCAAGAACTTTCTTGCTTATAAACTATTAGCAAAATTTTTATACAAAAACCTGATATCCTCTTAATCAGTATACCAAAATATTTTATATACTATCTTTTTTCCTTTGTTCATGTATAATTAAGTTTTTGAAAACCAAAACACCAATATTGAATTAAAATTATTAGGTTATTCAATAAGAATTTGAGTTACTATTCTGCTGTACTCTATCCTATACAAGGGGATACAGCAGTAAGAAAAGAAGCCCATGATGTTTGTACTTATCTTCCATGCTTCCATACTGGAAGTATTAATGTCCTGGGTATCACTTTCACTAGTTAAAGAGTCTCCATAAGTGTGAAGTATGTGATATCCTATTTGGATGCCAAGTACAGTGCACAGATTGACTAGAAAAAAACCAGTGTAGGCTGCCATGCTAAAATCCTTGAATCATGGATCAATCTTGTCCTTTTTCCTGGAAGAATTCTTTTTCTAAATGAGCACTATTGAGAGGATTTGACTTGATTACTACTTGGCATTTTCTCTTCCATAGGGAACATGCAGTACTACATTAAGGGAGAATTTCATACTGGTGTCAAAATTTATGTAATGTAAATGGTATAGAAGAAATTTCCTCTTAGGAAGAAGCTATTTTAAGGAGAAGGAATGAAAGTAGACTGGAAGGAAAAGTGGGAAACAGATTTGCAGTTGCAGTTCATTATTCCTTTCTCAACAAATGAGTCTACTGTAGTAGATTCGTGGACTGCATTACTTACCAAGGCAGGCCATGAATTATCAATGTAGTTATTAGTTACTTTTGAATGAGCACATATTCTGCTAGACTTCAGTTAATGTAATGTTATAAAATACACTTGGCCTTAAATAGGTCCACAGTCTAGCTGTAATATAGAAAGATGCTCAAAAAATCAGAGGCTTTCCAACTTACCTTGGGACTATGTATCTCCTTAAACCTATTGTAAACTTGAAAACTCTTGCATTGAACTTGAGCCAGGTGGGTGCAGCAGAGTCTATGTAGAGGAATGCAGGGAAGAGTAGAGTTCTACACAAAGATAACTTAAGACCAGGCCTTGAAAAATGATGGGGAATTCAGAAGAGAGTGGATGAACGAACGATGTGTTCTGGTCAGAACTAACCTACCACCCAGATGGGACATCATAGAACTGTAGTGACAATAGAAGATGTGTGGAAGGAGCAATTGGAAATAGGACTTATGAAACTGGTTGACCGTGGGGATTGAAGCAGAGGAAAAGAGAATGCCAAATGAAAGTCAGGGGCCAGCAAGATAACTCAGCAAGTGAAGGTGTTTGCTGCCAAGCCTGATTACCTGAGTTCAACCCTGGAAGCCGAAGGAAGGACAGAACTACTATAAGTTGTCCTCTAAGCTGTGCATGCACACCATGATGCACACATGCAGTAAACAGATAAATATTTTGTTGTTTTTAAACTTATGAAGCTAAAGAGAAGGCTCAGAGGTTAAAAGCACTTGCTGTTTTTGCAAAGGACCTGGGTTCAGTTCCCAGCAGCTGTAGGGCAACTCACAACCATGTGTAACTCCAGTTTTATGGGGCTCCATACCTGTTTCTTGCCTGTTGGGGTACCAGGCACACAGGTGGTAGATATATATATATATATATATATATATATATATATATATATATATATATATATACACACACACACACACACACACACACACACACACACACACACACACGCAGACAAATGATCTTATGCATAAACTAAATATTTTTAAAAGTAAGCAAATCAAGGATTCTGGTTTGAGTAACTACTTTCCTGTTGGTATGTAACTGAGGTAAGGAATCTGAGGAAGAAGATGGGAGCTATACTCACTGTATTTGAGGTCTCTGTGGTTACCTAGGTAAAGATGCTCAATAAGCAGTAAGTAATTCAGTTCTTTAGCTCAGAAAGATTGTTCAATTTGGGGGCATTAGCCTTTGACATTAAGTTTACTTAACAAATTACTGAGCTATGGAGAATATGTTTATCAAGAAAACAAAAAATATGGGCATTTTTAGAAGGTAGTGGTGTGAGCCTAAAGGACCAAAGCCAGATTTAAGGTTGGGCCAATTGGGTCTTGATAGAGAAAATCAGGATGGGATAGAGATAAGAAAAAGATAACTTGAGCTGGGCCTTGGTGGTACATGCCTTTAATCCCACCATTTGGGGAGTGGGAGGAGGCAGAGGCCAGCCTGGTCTACAGAGCTAGTTCTAGGACAGGTTCCAAAACAATACAGAGAACCCCTGTCTCGAAAAACCAAGAAAGAAAAAGATAGCTCAGCTTTGGTTTTGTGAGTGGGAAGTGGGCTGAGTGACAGGCACATGTACGGCTGTAACTGGTGAATAGAAAGGCACTATGCTTTCCATTTGCGATAGATCATTCTGGCCAAAGGGAGGCCCCAGGGAAATAAAGAACATGCTGGATAAGGGAGAGTGGTCTGACTCAGCATCTCCTATAGCCAGCCACCGTCACAGTCACAGAACTGGGGCAGCAAGAACAATAAAGCCCCTGCCATGTACCTTAGGGCCAGTGGAGGGCTGAGAACAGAGGACACACCATAAAGGGACCTGAAAAATGTCTGCTACAGCCGCTCTGAAGGACAGTGCATCAGGCTTTGAGAGGGAATGTGGCAGGATTTTCTGAAGGGGATAATTGAGCAGCGGCTGATGAAGTGAAGGGGAGCCCATTACAGAATTAACAGAAAGAGCTGGGTTTTGACACTGAATGTCTTTCCATTTTTCTTCCTTAGGTACTGTGAGGCGGTTCCTAGAGATCCATGGAGAAACCATTGAAAAAGTAGTATTTGCTGTCTCTGAACTCGAAGAGGTATTTTACTAATTATTTTACCCAGTTTGAGTCTTAATTCTACTCATTTGCCTTTATCTAGTCATCATCTGTTCACTGACTCTGAATGATTTAAATAAATTTGTAGAAGTGGGACTTATGCTCATTTATTGAAAAATGATTTTGATGGAAACTAAAAATCAAGTCTAGAAGGAACCCACCCTGTTTGACTGTGAACCAGGCTGTACTGGCTGCCACTTTTCCGGCCTCTGCCTCTAGTTCTGAAATACAGGCGTGCACTACCAATCTGGAAAGAGAGTTGGAGTCACAGTTTACTGCTTTCTTTAGTGAAATGGCACAGGGTAGTTCCGCCTGCTGCCTGCGCTAGCACTCAGAGTGGTACTTTATAACCTGAGTGCTGGGTTCCCAGGTTTCAGCCACCTAGCTGCTCTGCTGATGAGGCTTCTCCCTTTGCTTGACTAAATGCAGGGGTAAACAAGCCTATGGCACAGGTTGGCAGGTTTATGTCTGCTTGTGTCTGGGGGTTTTCATTAAACTAGATCCATTTTAAAAAGTTGGAGCTTTGTTTTAGAGCTTCTGATATGTTTGTGTCCTTCAGCGGTCACTTAGCTTCTCAGGGCTTTGCTAACATAGGGAAGTAGAGGAGCAGAAGTGGGATTGGTTGGTTTGCAGAGGCAAGACGTATTCCCAAGTAAATGAATACTGATTGTAGGAGTAAGAAAGCCCAGGGAAGGGCAGTGTTCCCTAGCTAGTAAGCTTTTTAAGATGGGAAATTGGGAAATCATGAAATACAGATTTAAGAGAAAAAAAAAAAAAAAAAAAAGCACGGTTAGTACTCATTTCTTAAAAAATGATATATAGACAACCAGTATAAAGAAACTTCACAACATTGGCCATTATGGAAATGCAAGCCAAAACCATAATGAGATGCCAAAAGTTAGTTACAGTATAATACAACAGATTCTTAAGTTTTTATAGATTGAACTCAGATGGCCAGGTCTGCACAGCAAACACATTGACAAGCTGAGCCTAACGCTGACCCCTTTTGTATTTGTTTGCTCATTTCTGAATTTTTTGAGACAAAGGTATCTTTGTGTATCCCTAATTGGCCTGGAACTCACTATATAGACCAAGCTAGCCTCAAACTCACAGGTTTGCCTGTCTCTACCTCCCAAATGTGAAGATTAAAGGCATGTGCGCTACCATACCCAGCCTATCTGGATTTTAGGTACAAATCTAGTTCAGGCTTCTGTTTAGGAAATGTTATAGTTCTGTGTATAATATTGATTTCATGAATGGTTTCATTGATCAGTACTCAATTCCATGACTTTTGTATTATCATTCTTTTAGTCCTTTTAAAAGATTTATTCGTTTTATATTTATGTGTATGGAGATGTAATTATGTAACTTTATTGCATTCAAGTGTAGATACCCATGTAGACTAGAAGAAGGTGTTGGTCTCCTGGAACTAGAGTTAGAGATGGTTGTGAGCATGGAATAGAACCTGGAAGAATTGCGAGTGCCCACCTCCTCTAACCGTCCCTTGAGACCCCGAAGCTTGGAATAGTTGATAAGTAATGCTGAGCAATGGTACAGTAATCCCTAGGATGCAGAAGCAGCAGTGCTCCCGCAAACCTGAATCCTACCAGCACACAGCACCTTGATGGCTCTGCTGCTGGAAAAGGGCCTGCACTTATGGAAGTCATCAGATTCAGAAGACCTTATCCATTCTTCATTTTAGCACATTGAGGTTACTTGATGAATTTTTAGGTTACCATACAAAGTTTCATCTCCATTGCCTTTGCTACTTTTTAAAAATTAGGCGTGTGTATGAATTTTATTGTAGAGGAAGCTGGGGGAATGTCTGTGTGAGAATCAGATGACCTTCAGGCTCTCCTCCACCATGTAGGCACCAAGACTCAAACTCAGGTCACCAGATTTGGTGGCCTTTATCTATGAAGCCATCTGATGGACTCCTTATTTCCTTTTGTAAAGTAAAATTTATCTTTTTTGTTGACTTCTGAGTGAAAACTATCAGTCCTTCAGATATAGTTAGAAATGGTTTTGAGGGGGTTGTTTGTTTAAGAAAACTGAAAAACTACACTAAGCTTGGGTAAATAGCACCTATGCTGCTGAAAGTCTAGTAAAAACAGTGGAGTGTGAACAGGAGTGGCAGACTTACACATTCCAGATATGCTGACCCCGAGCAGGGTGGTCATTGCCTTTGACTTGACCAGTGGATCATTTCTTCATGTCTAATGTAAGGAGTGAATGAGGCTCTCAGACAGCACTCTGAGCATAGGGAGTGGCGAGACTTCACAGCATGTAGAGAGGGCAGTAACTGCTCAGGCTACTTTCCTGTGTCACTGTTTTTCACAGAATGCCTTACTTTTCTGACACAGGCTACTTACCAAAAGCTGCTACCTCTGTACTTCCCAAGGTCATTAAGGGAGGAGAGCCAGTCATTGCCGTACCTACCTGCAGATATCGGAAATGCAGACGGGGAGCCTGTGGTGCCTGAGCGGCAGATTAGAATAAGCGAGAAGCCTGGTGCTTCAGAAGGTGAGTGCTGGAATTCTAACTTCTTAATTAGTATACAAATTACCGGTTCCCTATGACATTTTATACATACAGTATTTACTTTGTTATATTAATTATCCCTCATTCCTCTCTCTTGTTCTCCTGCTGGTCCCTTCTCTCGAAGTGTTCCACCCCTGAGTGCACTTACATCTGTATAAAATCTAGATTCCACATAGAGGAAAAGCCATGTGATGTTTGTCTTTTGACACCTGACTTATTTTGCTTAGCCTAATGATCCTGCAGATCACAATTTCTTCATTGTTTATGGCTGAGTAAAGCTCTGGTGAGCGTGTGTACGTCTGTATCCCATTTTATCCATTATCTCTTACAACTATCTGGGCTGATCCCCTATCTTGACTGTTGTGAATGATGGACATGGATAAGCAGATGCCTCTGGTATGTCTACCAGTTCTTTGGGTTTACCTCAGGAACGATATGGTTAAGTCATGTAGCAATTCTATTTTTAGCTTTTTAGGGAACTTTCATAATGATTTTCATAGTAGCTGCACTAATCTATATTCCTACAGGCAATGTATAATGGTTCAGCGTTTGCTTTTCTTAATTTTCTTCTTCAGGAAGCTAGGGTACTGATAGAACACCAGCCAGCAAAGATGCAGGGCTTGTATTTGGGGATTCACAGGTGGGCATAATAACATCTCAGCTGAGTGGAGTTTCTAGGCTCATGAAGAACTGTTGAAACAGTAATTGAGTATATTACCACCTTAAATTTTCAAGTTTTGAGCGGTTTTAACAATGTCCTCTAAAAGCCACAGTTAACATTAAATAGTAAGATAAGAATACTGTAGCCATGTTATTTCTTTAGGTTATTTACTCATATAAGTTGAAAGTTTATTGGCAGAGAGTATGGTAGAATGGGAGCCTTTCTGAATCTATCCCTAAGAAGCTTCTATCAACCTTCACCTATATAAGACCATAAACCTGTTAGATGGAAACATGCCTCACACATTTAGTGCTGGGCCTGATAATGAAATTGGCTTAGGGAATAGATTAGTCACTTTGATTTTATTATTTCAGGACATCAGATTTCTAAATGTTATTTCAGAATCATAATCTTAACCCTGGGTTTGAGGGGTTTTGCTTTGTTTTGTTTTATTTTTGTTTGGGGGGATTTTTGTTGTTGTTTGCTTGCTTGCTTGCTTTTGCTTAGTTTTTGTTGCCTCCAGTCATTCTGCCTGCAGCATTCATAGTCAGTTTTGCTGTCTGCTTTCGTAGCTCTCTGCTGATGGTGTTTTCATTGCAGACAACCAAGAAGAAGATGAAGATGACGGCTTGGGAGTGGATCTGTCTTTCATTGGCTCTCATGCCTTTGCTCGAATGGAAGGAGATATTGACAAGCAAAGAAAACTGATCCTCCAGGGACAGTTGTCCGAAGCTGCCCTGCAAAAACAGCATCAAAGAAAGTAAGGCAGACTCATGCAGATGGTTAGATAGTGTAATGTCAGGAAAGGGCTCTGGCATCTGCTAGATGCTCTTCTGTATACACAAAATTCCTCTTGTTAATTTCTGTGATGATCAAGTAAGAGGGTCCTATCCCCATTCTGTAGATGGCAGAGCTGAAAGTTGAGTCAGTGTGAGGGATCCAGTGGTCAGATGCATGATCGGTTTCAGAGCTTTTACCCAGCATGGGCTCTAATTGCCATGCCTCTGTGTGAGGTTATTGTCTAAACAGGGAAATTAGAAGAAAGGAAAAGCACTCGCAAGGTCTCTGCTGTGCCGAAGCGGTTAAAATTTCTTCAGCTGAAGAGTTTTTGTCTCTGCAACTTACCCTGAGGACCTTTACATTCTGTTTTCTCGGTGTTTGTAATACTAAAGTAATTCTGAGTGAATCCTTTGAAAATCATAGATGCAGCTAGCTGCTTTTCAAAGATTTCAAAGAAAAAAGGAAAGTGTACATGGCTCTCCATTCCCTATTGGGTTGGTAAAGGATAACATCTCATAGACTGTGAGCATCAGATAATTGCAGTGTGTGTGCCCAGCATCTGGAAGGCAAGCTCGATAAAATACAACCGCTGTGGCTTTCTTCAGTACTGAGCTAATCGGTCTGTCTTACTTTTGAGCTTTGGCCCCTCCCATTCAATTTGATTGAGATCTTCTCTTGCTTCAATCCTGTCCAGTGTCCAGTTTTCAGCTGTAAATCAAATGCCTCTCAAACCTTACCTGCTGGGTCTTGCCTCCCCTGTTTTACTCTTTCACATCCTGCAACAGCCTGTCACCTTGCTTTATATGGTACTTCTATGATGTCAGTCTCCAGTCATAGGGTGAAGAGTTGGCCCTGATGACCAGAAGTCGCTTACAGACATAATTTTTATATGTTTTCATTTTTGAGAGTTTCATACATCTATGTGATGTATTTTATCATTTTTACCTCTTGTTATCCTCTGTCATCCCCTTCCCATTCTCACTCAGACTCCTTCCCATTGAGTCCCACTTCTGCTTTCCTGCCCTGTTTTGTAGCCCACTGAGTTTAATTGAGGTTGTCTCCAGGAACTTGGGAAGGAGGTATTTACTGGAGCCTGGGCAGCTTAACCTGCCACACCACAGAAGAAAATGGCTCCCCCGGCCAGAATTAACATTTTCTGTCTTCTCGGATCTTCACTTTGCTCCAATTTGCAAATGATAGAAGCACGTTTACCAGTAGAGGGAACCAGTGAACAAGTTTTCCAAAGGATTGAACCAAATGCCAGGCTCAATAGTTTCTCAACTTGGTCATGTGTAGTGTCATCTGACAAACAGTCACTGGGCTCCCTTGCCACATTGTTGTGATCTGTCTCTGTGTGTGCATTTTTGTCATGGTTTGCGAGTGGTTTGTGGTTCTCAGATCTCCCTTGCACTCTTATAAATGGTTGAGGATCCCAGAGGGCTTGTGTCTACATGAGTTATATCTACAAATACTTACTATATCAGAAATTATTAATTCATTTATAAGTAAGCATTTTTTCAAAAGTCAACTAATGTTGTCTATTAAGATCTTGTAAGATGTTCAGTTGATCTAAATGAAGGTGACTGGAATCCAATAGCATCATTCAGTTGTAGTCAGTTGTTTTACATGAAGTAAATATGACACCACTCAAATAGAAACTTGGAAAGCAAAGGAGTACTTCTAAAGACATTTCAGGAATCAGATATGTTTCTGTGCAGGTCATAGAATTTGATGAGAAATGATTTCTTAAAGTTTAGTTGCAGTATGGGATCTCAAACCTTACCCATTATGACTTTGTTTTACTTGCATCTGTGTGCATATATGTGTTGCCCACCCACCACAGCATGCAGAGGTCAGAGGATAACTTGCAGGAATTCTCTGCTTTTTCCACATGGGTTCCTGGGGATCAAATTCTTGTTGCCAGAGCTAGAGTCAAGTAAGTGCCATGACTCTCTAGTACCATCTCCAGCCCCACATCTGTGTTTTCCTGTTCTGTTTTAAAATACATTAGCCAATGCTCACTGTGATTGTGGTTTTATGATGTGATGCATAGATCTTTTGGAAAGTAGAGATTCACATAGATAACTGTATCAACATGCTTCATTATACAGTATCAAGATGCATTAATTCCAGCACCAGTCTTACTGCAAAAGCCAAGCTTCCCAGCTGGGCCTGCTAACACACACTTTCAATCCTAGCAGTCAGGAGGCACAGACAGGCAGAATCTCTCTTGAGTTTCAAGCCAGCTAGGACTATGTAATGACCCCCTGCTTAAAAAAAAAAAAGGTCAAGATACAGACTTTCCACAGTCAAGTGTGTGGAATCGTGGAATGTATATTGGTCTCAGATCTTATAATTGGCAGCAAGTTAGTCTTACTGGTTTTTTTTTTTTTTTGAAAAGACAAGACCAATGTATTCATTCTAAAGAAACAATCCATGTTAAATAGCCATAGCTTGTCTGCCATTCAGCCTTTAAAGTAAAAAAAAAAAAAAAATGATGTTCCATGAAAAGCAACTGGGACTGGCAACACGGCTCAGTGGGTAAAGCTACCTGTGCCAAGCCTGGCTCTCTGCGTTTGATGCCTGGGTCTCCTGTGGAGCAAGGAGAGAACTTCTACAAATTGTTCTCTTGACTGCCATGCATGCCTGTTCTCTCCCCCATTCCTCCACCTGCTTCCCCTCACATCCAGTACACCTTGCATTTTCCATGAAGTGACAGAGATTCTGCCCTTTTTTTTTTTTTTTTTTTTTTTTTTGTTTGTTTGTTTGTTTTTCCTTCCAAGCTGGTTATTTATCTCGCTTTTTTTTTTTTTTTTTTTTTTTTTTTTTGAAGTTAATTTGTTTCACTTACTAACTACTATACTAGTTCAGGCCAATATTAAATTGAGCACATATGTGCTAAGTCTGCATTTTCTGGTAAATTGCCCCCAGGGAAGGGGTAGGTTCTAGGAAAGGAAATTCATACAGCATGTAAAAGAGTACCCTTTTCTGGTGGAAGGCCTTGATCTGGAGACTGAAGCGTGGTAGACTTTAGACACCCTATAAGAGCATGGCCTGGATGCAGACGTAAATAAGCTAGTCCTGAATATTAAAGCGAGCCACACCTTGGCTGTCAGGCATTGAGTACATTAAGGCAGAAGTTCTAGACAGTGATCAGGGTATTGGGCACAACCAGTTACCATTTAGTGGCAGCAAAGCCACAGCAGGAAAATAAGAGCTGAGTGTTCTGCCATTCAATAATGCTATCACTGAGTGAAAAGATTGGCTTCCCAATTGTGTGTCTTCATGAGATTGAAGATGACGGCGTCTTTTGTCTGTAATGCAGAATACTTCAGAGTGCTGCTAAAAGACAAGGTGCAGACAAAATAAATCTGGCAGGTCATTTGCGCGTGGAAGCATTCATGTTTAGGCAGCACTCAGCTAGAAGTGCAGAGGCACGGTAGTGATGCCCTCAGCTCACCGAGAGGTGTTTGCCAGATTTGGGTATGAGCCAGCTAGTTGGCTGTTTGTGATTGGTGTGGGGCTTAGTTTAGTTGCTTTTTCTTTCACAATGCTTTGTAAGAGGTAAGTGTTAAAGGAAGTTTTTGTGTGGTTGTAGCTGTGTGAGGACTCGTGGCAAAGAAGCATCCTGAGGTACATGGCCTTCTGCTTCTGTTGCTGAAATAGTGGTAAAGGTGCTTCTCAAAAGTGAGGGACCTGTGTGGCCAAACTGTCTCCATTATGTCACCAAGGCTTGCTTTCCTTTCCCATTCTCATCCTCACCATATTCAATCAAGTTCTCTTGGGGCTCCTTAACCTGGGATGTTGCAGGAGACCAATGCAGGCTAGAGTAAGGGGTCGTTCAGATATTAAAGGGAATTATGAAATTAAAGAATATAGCTCATCTTCCTAAGCTCAGATTTTTTTTATGTTAAACATTATATTTTTAAAAAGTAGATTAAGAAAGTTACATTCAGATACTCATTTTTTTGTTATTGTTGTTTCTTTTAAATCAAATAAATAAATGCTTTTAGATTTCTGCTGTTTCTGATATGGTAAATGTTGGTAGATGTAAACATGAAGGGGTCCTGAGAACAACAGTTTAGAACTGATGGCTGTTGAGTTTATGATATTGCAGAGCTGGAGGCCAGCACCCTGCCATGCCTGAGATTGCAGGATCGCATTTAAAAAGATGTACTTCTGCTTTCCTGAAGCAGGGCCTTATGTCACACACTGACCCAGTTCCTCTTCAGCTGCTCAGGACAAAGGATCTGGAAGTAGATAGGCGATTGATTAGTATTCTCTGAAAGCTCCAGCTCTCCCTCACTGGCTCCTCACTGTTTCTTCCACCGCACTGCTGTGCGGCATCAGTGTCTGGCACCTGTTCTTTACAAAATCTGAAAAAATAGACATGGCCCTCATTCTTCATTAATGCAGCTCAGTGCTTTGTTCATTGCAGGTGATTTGGATGTATCTAAGGTGGAAGTTGTTAGGAAGCAGACTAGCAACTTTTCAAAACTACAGCTTTTTAAAGTATTTATCACAGTGGGAGAAAAGACATTGAGACGCAGGGAGAAAGATCACTAGACTGTTTGGTTCCTTTCTCTAGTGGTCCTTGTTATACTTAACATCCAGTTGCCTGTGATGTTAACATCATTCCTCACACAAAGGCATCATTTCATTAATTATTAAGTATTATTAAACCCTTACTGACATCATCATTTGCTGGAGTACATCTAGTAATACAAAGACAAGCAAGACAGCCCTGGCAGAGCTTAGAGCCCTGCACACAAGAAAATGTTCAACTTCGTTTATAGTGAACCTGGTCAAGTAGGACACAAAAGGATGCATTTATGACACAGCATTTGCAATAGGTCTAGAAAACCTGAATTCCAGGTTGAATTGTCCCTTGAACAATGAGCTTTATCTAAACGTTTTAAAAATCATTAATTTATTCTTACTGAAAATAAATTCTTCTCTCATACAACACATCCTAGCTACAGGTTCCCCTCCCTCCACTCTTCCCAGTTCCCTCCCACTTCTTCTCTCCCCCCTACCTACTCCCCCTCTGTTCCCTCTTCAGAAAAGAGCTGGCCTCCAAGAGACAACAGCCCAACAGGACAAAACAAGACATAGTAAGACAAAGCAAAAGCCCCTCATATCGAGGCTTTCTAATAGGAGAAAAAGAGCACCAAGAACAAGCAAAAAGATATACCCATTCCCACTGCTGGGAGTCCCACAAAAACACCAACATAACAGCCATAGATAGCATACACATAGAGAATCTAGTGCAGACCCATGAAGGGCCTGTGTTTTTAATAGTAATTTTGTTTAACTTTTCTTCATCGTTCAGTCTTTGGCTGTGTAAGTGTATGGTAATTAACTGGAAGAAGTTGGCTTATGTTAGCATTGTGGGAACAATATGTAACCTCATCAGTTGCAACCCACTGGAAAACAACTCAGCATTTCTGCCTTTAGAAGAGCCCAATGGCTGAGTTGAGTGACTTTTCTGCCATCACAATTTGCTTTACTTGTGATAGCTTGTACTGTCTGCTATAGAGGAGTCGTAACTAGATAAAGAAGCCTGACAGCCACAGTGTGAAGTTACTGCATTGAAATGTACCTTATGGTCTGCACAAACCGGAACAGCAGACTATAGCACTGATTTGAATCTTTGATAAATCACAAATGTAATTTTATAAATTCTACAAAAACATGCATATGTAGATTTTTGCCTCTCAAAATCTATCCTTGGAAAGATCTCAAATTATTAATAACTGACCAAAGTCAACAAGGTGGACATTTATACTATTCTAGAGTTTTAACCGTAAACTAAAAATAATTTTAGGTAGATTTAAGAACTTTTAAAAACATGAAAACTCACAGAAGTTATAAATATCTTTTGTACCTAAAAATACTTTCTTTAAAATTTATGTGTATGTATCTATGTGTCTATGTGTATATGTACCCATATGTGCAGGTCCCTGCCCAGATCAGAAAATGACATAGGTCCGTTGCAGTTATAGGCAGTTGTGAGTCATCTGGTGAATTAGCAGAACTGGGTGTGGTGACATACACATCTCATCCCATCCCAGCACCCGGGCGGCAGAAGTGGGCCGTTTGAAGACAGCCTAGTGTACATAGTGAGTTAGTTCCAGTCTATGGAAGCTACATAATAGAATGAGCCCATCTCAAAAAAAAAAAAAAAAAAAAAAAAAAAAACCTGAAATATTAAGTTGACCATTAAAATCATTTTAACCTCTTTTTTGCCAAAGCCATTTGACATAGTAAGTTGGGTGTTGATTCTAGCTAAATTAACCAATCATAAAATGTCTGACTTGCCAGATAAAATTTGCTGCCTTCCTGTGGTCCTGTATAATGTGGGCAGCACTTACTGTCTTTTGGCTGTGATAAGACTTCATGAGGGCAGTGATTCTATTTTCTATTCATTGTAATATTGTCAAGCATGTTATTTAGTGGTTATCCACTTTGGAGATCTAACACTGAGGCTTTACCTGTTACATTTTTGTAGTAAGGGAAAATAAGAGTATTTTTCGATTATGTTATTTTGAATTATTGATGTCTTAGCTACTTACCTGTATACTCTTCACTTACCATAAGAATTGTGTTCAGTCATTGGTATATACACATTTTCTCACTAATGCACATTTATCAATGACTTAGGATTCTACACAGTGCAATGGCCTCTAACTCTTTGTTGTAATGAAGCATCAGTTCTTTATAGCCAGCAAAAGATATTAAAATAGGTTCCATTTGCAAAAGTAACTTGCCAGCGTTTGCTGATTGTATCCTTTATCTGTCTAGTTATAACCGCTGGTTATGCCAAGCAAGATCTGAGGACCTGTCCGATATTGCTTCTCTGAAAGCCTTATACCAAACAGGTGAGCTTAATAATCATGTATTCTTGCTAATTAGGGATCTGACTCATGTGCTATGGGACACTTTGTTTTTCTGTGTAAACACAGTGTTTGGTGCTGGTGTCAGTAGGTTTTGCACATGATGAAGATCTTAGACATACTATGTTAACCTCTAGTGTTTTCTTGGGCACTCACATCATCTGTTTTAATTTTTCCTGGGATGCTTTTTCTGTTAGAATTTTATCTGCTTCTAAGGAATTTGTCAATACAAAATTCATAGCTTATAGCCTCTCCAGTCACCACTTCCTCCACTGGGTTTCATCTCAGGCATCACCTGTTAATTTTAATTGAAAGCTTCTAGTATTTCCTGCATCACTAATATTATTAAACATTATGATGAGCTTAAACAAAATGGTTATTTAAAGAAAAGAGAGACCATAGGTTATATTATTTAAAATCTTTAAACAAGTCAGAACTATGGCCAAAATCTCATCAAGCTTTAAAAACAAGAAAGAAAAAGTATTTTCCTAGCAATAAAAGAATTTCTTACCTTTTGAATGTGTAGAATTCTTTCATGCAGTCAAATACATATTTGACAGGACAAACACTGGTCTTATAATAAGATTTCTGGGCCCTCTCATAGGTGTGGACAACTGTGGCCGCACCGTGATGGTGGTAGTTGGAAGAAACATTCCTGTGACGTTGATAGATATGGACAAGGTAAGCTGTAAATGGCTCCTTCCACAAGTTAGGTGGATGTTGTAAAGTAAGAAGAATACTGTTGTGGTAATTAGGGTCCCCAGCACAGATGAGATGGATTGTGGATCTTGGTGGAAAAACATCACCTGAGAATCACTATGCATCATTTCAGGGGAGGTAGGTGTTGCTTGTCCTCTGTAGGAGAAACAGATACCAGAATTCTGATATTACTTCAGAAACAGCTATTTTGTTTGAATATGATATAACTGGCAAGCTTTTGGTTAGAATCATCCTGAATTGTAAATATACAATCAGACTTGAGCCTCTTTGAAAAGAATAAGAAAAAAAGAAAAATTAACACTTGAATATCTACTTAAAAAGTATAAACCAGAGGTATAGTTTGCACTATATCAAGTGCAAGAATAGCAAGACATCATAATTTCATCATCCCTTTATGTGGGGATGGAAAACAGAAGTAGATAATCCTAAAAAATAATAATAATAGTTGAAACTATACATAAAAGGAAGAAATCCTTCAACCAGACTAGTAATACACATACAATTCAAAGTGTCATATTTTAAATCCTGAGAATTAGTGAGAACTTTGGCGACAATAGCTATTATCACCAGAGATGAATTGCAACTATAAAAGTTGTGATTCCATCCTGGAGACTTTATAGTAAGAAAATACTCCCACGGGGAGAAGAAGCTGTGAACCCAGCAACTACTGACCATGGAGTACTCACTTGGAGGGACAGTTGAGCGATGACCTAAATAGAGCTCTTCAGCCAGCATTCCAGCAGGCAGCACCAACTGAACTCAGTACATTGTTACAAAACAGATACACACACAAATACAAATACTGTTTTAAAAATTGCTTTTCTTATTTTGAGGAGAATTTGTCCCTTGCAGCTTTCTCTTTTTGGCTGGTCCTATAAATAACAGTAGAATAACTTAAAGATAGAGAATTTGAAGCCAGAAAGAGTGTCCTAATTTGCCCAGGTATGAGTAAAATGTGGATCAAAAGGCCTAAGATAGTCTGATGAGAGGAAGAGTAGGACTACTAGGGATAAATCTATTCACAAAGAGGGAAAAGAATTACATAAGTTTCTGTTTGCAACCATTTGTGTTCTTAACAGTCAGTGTGCCACTCACTCTTACCTTCATTAGTGTGGCTTACTCGGATAAAAATAAAACCCCTACATTTGATTTTGCTGTGTGCTTGCATAGCATTCCTGATATTATGATATGTTATTTCATATTAAAAATTGAGACTTAATTGTGAGGTTCAAATCAGGTAACATTTACAGAGCAACTCTGCCCTCCTCTGCCTGCTGTGCCTGCAGTTTGGTCCTAATCCACATTAATGCCAAGGACTCCACTGAGGAGGAATTAATTGGAAAATAGCCTGGTTGGTAATCCTTTTGGTTGAGGTAGTTTAGCTTCCTCTTTGCAGTTGTTTACAGCCAAACCATTGGGTCACTTCAGCCCTACTTGGGTTATATTTCTCATTTTGTTTTTAATGTCTCTCTTAAATTTCGTAAAATAGAACACATCCGTAACCAAACAGATTCATATTAGATCACCCTCTTGAGTTCTAGATATGTTGCCCAATGTGTTGCCATCCACCCTCAAAGCCCTCTACTTTCCTCATTCAGATAAGCATTAAAAGTGCTAAGTGAATGAGCTGCTACAGGAGCATGGAAGGAGCAGTTCCCTATACCATCTGCTCTGTGCCTTTCCTGAGTCTGTGTCTGATCACCAATGGACAGACCTTGATGGAATGCAAACAGAAACGTCAAGGATGATAGCATCTATTAAAATTATAACAAGTATTAAATCTTAGTTCTAAATGCTTTGACATCATGGTCCTAGATAGAAGAACCTGATAGTTTTCCAAGAGCTCCGGGTATCTGAAGAGTTATTTCAGAGGCCAGAGATTAATTGTCCTCTTCCTTTACTTAGAACACCACAGAGAAGGGCTGTGCCACAGCCTTTGAGAATATCACTAAATGCTGGGATGACTCACTTTCCTGTCTGCAATTATAGGTGTAGACCAGATTAATCTTAGGGGATAGGTTCCCCATCTCTCGGCCTCTGCAAAGTGAACTACCATGAAAAATGCTCTTTGTTCCTCTCTTCTAGGCTCTGTTATATTTTATCCATGTAATGGATCACATCGCTGTGAAGGAATATGTGTTGGTATATTTTCACACACTCACCAGTGAATACAACCACCTGGACTCAGACTTCCTAAAGAAACTCTACGATGTCGTTGATGTCAAGTTAGTTATTTTTGGAAATTGTGAAGGGGGTATTGCCTCTTTATTTTTAACACTAAGCAATAGCAATCATTTGTAAATAACTTTTAAAGGCTATTTCATGTGGCAAAGACTTATCATATGTACATTAGCTATTTTAATTATAGGAAGCCCTCGTTTTAATTAAACGAAACTCATCTGTAATCTTCCCGCTTTTGACCACCTTGAAAGACTTTGTATCATACCTAGTCTTTGTGTATAAAATAATGAAGGTACAGCCTTGGTTACTATGGTATGTTAATACATACCAGAGTGGCCTGTGAGTCTATTGGGAGAGATACTGATAACAGGTCCAAAGAAATTTGTCCCTGTGATTATAAATAAAACAGAAACTGAACATGAACTTACAGGTAAAGGTTTTAATTGGAACAAGAAAAGGCTGAGAAAAAGGGGAAATAGCTGTTTTGGAGATTCAGACTGTCTGCTGACACAAAGGAGTGGGCATTTATGGGGTTTTGGGGGGGATTTGGGGTTGGTTAGTCATGAAGACAGACTTTATTTTGACATTTCTTCCTTGTGGTTTAGGTAGACTTCCCACCCCTATGTAAGATAGGGTGGCCAATTTGTCTCTGGAGACAGTCTAACTTTACCTTGTACCTGATGAGGTTTTCCCATGTGTCAAGGGGGTGAAGGACCGGCACATCCTATACATCGGTAACAAGGGAGGAGAGAAACTGGGTGTGACAGGCTTTATGGATCAAGGGCATGAGGGCCCATGTCTTTACCTCTGAGTATCCTGTTTGTTATGTTTTAATGTTTTCTACATCTGGAAGATGGGAGAATAATAAAGATGGCATTTATTGCCCAAGTTCTCACAATTTTATATACAGAATTTAGACTTACTAGACTACTAGACTACTGACTTGGAATTAGGAAATTATTTTCATTAAACTATGTTTCCTTTGCTATAATATTGGAAACCCTCATGACCACCCACGACAGGACCAAACAAACAATGTTTAAGTTCTTTCTCAGTGATATATTTCCTAAATAATATATTTTTTGAAAGCTTTCTACCCTCTTGGTACCTATTTTATTTGTAGCGTCACAAGGTTTTTATGGGTTAGGTTGAAAAATTATTTTACAGTTAGGGAGCAAAGAAGATACCATAAATTTCCATTGTCTTCCACCACCCATTAAATCTCATCTTAATTAGCAATAATAATGCTTTCATTATCTAACAGATTTCTATTTCCTGTGCTTTGAAGTATTTTCTAATGAAGCCACACATCACTATATACCTACTTCTGCCTCTAGCTTGCCCTCAACTAACACAACCTCAGCTAAGAGTGCCCCTGCTATTTCTTTGAAATCCTTACAGTTAACCTTATATGACTTGGTGGTGATTGATAAATTATGGGAAAACAAACTTTCAAGACGTGCCTCAGCAAGCTTTATGGTAGCTGGCTGAGCCCCAGGTTGGGTTCCAGACATTACTTCTTGGTCGTCAGGTCACTGAGTGTTAAAGTAGAGCAGTGCTGGCACTCTCCTCAGAGCCATTGAGGGATCAAGTACAAAACCGTCAGAGAATTTCTGGGTCATGCAGCTACTTGTAAAATAACTGTAACTTTTAGTTGCTATAGTTTTAGTAATTTCAAAGTGACTTAATTTCATACATTAGAGACTCTACTATGGTATAAAAAAATGTACAATGATGTTTTTTAAAGTATGAATTGACTTGTCACAGTGAGGGGCAACATTTAGTGCTTCCTTTAAAATAGGCAGTTTCAATAATGAAATGTTCTTAATTATTTTTGACATTTTACCCAAAACTCAATATATTAATTCCTGCTGCTTTTAAGATATTTTTCTCTTTGTGAATATATTTATTTATTCATTCATTTATTTGCTTAGGTAAAATGTTGATTGCCTATAATAATGAGTACTTCTAGTGTGACTTATAGTGACTGTTTGTTTTAATTAGATACAAGAGGAATTTGAAGGCTGTTTATTTTGTTCATCCAACATTCCGTTCAAAGGTACAGTACTAGTGTTTTTGACTAAACCTTGCATTTAAGTGCATTGCATGCTCAGGATGCTCATTTGTTTGCCGTTTTCATTGGCTGAGTTGCTGTGTTCATGGTGTTTGGTTGTGTCTGACTCTGGTATCCTTCTGAACAACCTCATCAAACATAGCTTCCCAGTCTTTGCCTTTTTGTACTTAAGCTTTGCTCATGCTGTTAGCTCAGAATCTGCTCTCTCCTCTCTGCTATGGCCAACCCTGCTTGTCTTTCACATCTTGGTTCAATAATTACTTTCTGTCTGAAACCTTCCTGGTCTAATCCTATAGCTAGTAAATACTCCCACATGTGTCATTTGAGTTCAAGTTTTGATCATTGTGGTGATTTCATTCTAAGTACACATTTAATGTTCTGCCTTTTTGTATTAACCTGTGAGGGCTTGAATGTAGCTGTTTTGCTCACAATTACTTTTTCAGTGTCTGCTCTTTCCACAAGAAATCTAATCCCTTTTCCTTGGTCCTTATATGCTCTAAAAATATCATATTTCTTGTTTCCATCTTCCTACATCCAGGCAAGTATATGTCCTGTCACTTCAGCCTCTCTGGTAAATGCCTGAAGTAACAGGTAGCCTTTTACTCTTCTCCACATCTGCCCATAAAACTTAGACTAGAGAAAATCTGTCTGCTATGCAAAGCGTTAATGGGGAAATGACAGCTCTGTGAGGTGCGGAGTCCTCTATGGACTCACAGGCTTCACTGCTGTAGCTGTTTACATTGATGAAGCGTCTCACAGGCTCTTCATTCTCCACAACCCCACCCTGCTAGCTCCTCCTTCACATCCTTTACCAAAAGCTTAAGGCATCAGTAGGAAACTGTACCCTTCTATCCTACCTCATCCTGCCACCTGCTACCTCTTCTGTTGTGGCCTTCCTTTTCAGTGTCATACATGTTTTCCTTCTGAACCAAGGACAGATTCTCTACCTGTGTTCCAAATTCCAAAATAGTAATAAGTAATAGGGATATTGTTTGTTTTGAGCATTTACTGTATATAGTTTCTTCCTGCATTATCATTGAGTGTGCTTATAAAGAGTGGCATCCGTTTACAGGCAAGGGGATTGATGTTTGGATTAAGTACTTTCCCAAGATTGCTAGCAGTGTATGGCAAAAACCAGATTTAAATCTAAACTGTATTAGAGAACATTCCAAACCTCTCTAAAGAAATTAGCATCTTTCTTCCACTTGACTGGACCTATAACATCAGCACACTTCCTTCCACTTCCCCCCTCCTTCCTTCCCTACCCCTTTCTCGCCTTTCCTTCTTTCCTTTCTCCTTCCTTTTCTCAAATTCATGTCACACCACACTCGCCTTTTAAATGTGTTATGGCTTCTCCCCATTAGAACTAGAAATTATAGTGTTCTGTGTTCATTTCCATTTTTCATCTAATCTGGATATGTCATCTGAAGCAATTCACAACAAGCCACAAATAACCTGTCACTTAGTATAGTGCACTTTTCTATCTTCACATTACTTGCTTGCCCTGCGGGTCACTTTTTTTGAAACACTGCCTGGCTTACTTAATGCTAACTTTGCCTGGTTTCCTTACTCCTTGTAGCTGCCCCTTCTCTGTTTCCTTTCTGAGCCTTGGTGTTCCCAAGTCCTCTGTCCTCGCCTTCCATTCTGTACCTTATTCCTTCCTGTGTCTACCAACCCTTCTAAACACATGCAGTGCTTCATTCTGTGTTTGGGAAAGTAGTAAGCCTAACGGCTAGAAGCAGAGTTTCAGGGGGCCTAGGTTCTAGGCTCTTCTACCAGTCTCATTTGCCATCTCAGCTAATTTTATACTTTATACAATGTGAGTAATGCCTACCTCACTGTCTGCTCAGGAGCATGAAGTGCTCCCTTAAAACAAATAAACACTCACAAATTGTTTGCTAGCTTTGTCATCGTCTCTGAATTGTTTCACATGGCGTCAGTTCAGGTGTGGGGTTGCTGCCCTGGCTGCAGCTAGATGCCATTGTACTACTTTGCCATGATTTGGGGGAAATGGGAAATGAGAGAATAAGGTCTATATACAATAAAATCTCATTTAAAGTTTAGCTAATCAAAACTGTAAATACAATGTTGCTAAATAGATAAAATTAACAAAATACAAATTCATCACTGCTCTGACTCCCATACTGTTCATGACATTTCCAAGCCATTTTGCCCAACATGCGATTAAATAACTGTTAAATTACTTTTTCTTCAGTGGTGTTTATTGATAGAAAGAGGGCTAATAGAACTTAAGCCCAAGTTTATTTGGGTGCAACATGTGAATTGTATCTTCTTAGCTTATGTTCTGTGACCCTGTATTGGCCTCACAGTTTTTCATACTTAGATGGAAAAGACATCTCTAGCATTCACAAAAATGTCTGAATTTCTTTCTAAAATTTGTCAGTTGTCTTTAGTTTGTTGTTGTTGTTGTTGTAGAAACTAAATAATGAAAGCAAACCTTACTATGTATTTTTTTTTTAGCTTATACTATAAACAATTGAAAATTTAAAGCTAAGGCATATAAAACTCAAGTGTGAAGAGCTTGAAAAGGGAGAAAATTGGTATTCTTGGGTCTTCCACTTCTGTCTGCTTTGAGTAATTCTCTCCTGCCCACACCAGTGGGATAGATATAAAAGGAAGCTATGGTGAGAGAAACTGGCGGGTTTGGTTTCTCTTCTGCTGATGGGATGCTAAGGTCTGCCCTGTGCTTCCCCAGTGCTGCCTGCCTGACCCTTTTCCATCAACACCCCACCATGTCAGTACGGTAGAGCCCACTTTAGCATCCTGTTGAAGAATTGGATAAAATATCATACAAGCGTAACTTCATCTTATAAATGGAGAGGGTGAGGCCCAGAAAGAAGTGTGATTTAAGGAGTGCTGTACTTTCCCTGAGTAGTGTTGAAGTAAGCTACAGACTCTGCTTGGTAATGCTTCCAACAAACGATGAGTTCCTTCTAGGTGAACGCTGAGCATCAGAGACTATGGATATGACATGACAGAGCTCTCAGACTAGAGCATTAGCTAGTATCTCCAGACTGTTGTTGTTATGCAGAGCATGGAGAAACAATGGCCTCTGGCAGCATTGGATGAAAATGGACCAAGGAAATCGACAAATAGGACAACAGCCAGTTAAAGATTTAAGAATAAAGATGTCAGTGCTGAAGCAAGACATGTAAAAAGATTTGAGGTAAAACAAAACTGTGCTTTTAAAAAATAAAAAAATAAATAAATAAATAAAAAATAAATAAATAAATAAATAAATAAATAATCCCCTAGCCAGGCAGTGGTAGCACACGCCTTTAATCCCAGCACTCAGGAGGCAGAGGCAGAGGCAGGCAGATCTTTGTGATTTTGAAGCCAGCCTAGTCTTCAAAGCCAGTTCCAGGACAAAAAGGAAAGAAAATTCCCTATATAGCACCTTAGCTCCACAAATTTGTATATTTTCTATGTAGCAAAACTGCATATATAGAACAGACATTTTCCTTGGGGACATTCATTGCATGTAGCAAGTTTGCCTTAGGTAGTAATTATTAAGTTATTTGTTGTTTATAACCTAGCTCCTTTCCTAGAATCTAAGCCATTACAGCAGTTCTCAACCTGTGGGTCATGACCCCTTTGGGGTTCAAAGACCATTGGAAAACACAGATACTTATATTACATTTCCTAATAGTAGCAAAATTATAGTTATGAAGTAGCAACAAAAATAATTTTACAGTTGGGGGTCAGCCCAACATGAGGAACTGTATTAAAGGGCCAAAGCATTAAGCTTTGTGGGGTTAGTTGCTGCACATAGTCTCTTCATAGCCATTGCTAGTTCACCAGCTATGGCTGTGATGAGTTTTCAAGCTCATAACCGGAAATTTTGCCTAATCTAATTTGTAGAAATTTGTTTCACAAAAGGGTATGTGATAGCATGTGTTAACACAAGTTGATTTTGATAAGCAGCTCATTCACTGTTTAAATCTCTTGATTCTCATTTTGCCTAGTGTCTCTGCTACTCCCTATCAAGTATCCCAATAAACTTGAAAAATGGGGAGAAAGGGAATTCAGATAATAACATGGGAATTTGAAGCTGTGTATTAGCCATCAGTAATGTAGTTGACATCAATAATGACCCAAGCCACAAAGGACATTATAAAATAGTCCTTAATATTCATTCATCCTTTAACAAGCACATGGAACCCAGCTCTGTAGATACCGACACAATCATTCTAGGATTGTCTTCTAAAATCCAGACAGATTGTGGAAATGGGTGCAATTGGAATACTAGGAAGTAGGTCCAATCGCAGGTCTCTGCAAGTGAGATGTGAATGGGAGAATCAAAGAATCCACAGAAGGAAAGCCTAGAGCAGTAAGTGAGAAATGGGAAATGATGGCTATAACAATTTGGGAAAATTGACTAGGCTTTACATAGTGGTAACTTAGTTCAATGTTGTCTGTTATGCGTCTTATTTTACAAGTAAATTTGAAGGAATTATGTCAAGTAGGGAAAAAGTATGTCATGTTTGGGGCTTGGGATATGTCAAAGGTTTGTAAGAGCCACTAAAGAGTATGACGGCATACCAAAGAGAAATTACTAAAAACAATGAATGAATGCAAAGCACCCAACGTGACATGCAGGCTACCCAAAGTGGCTGTGGTCTATTCCAGGTTTAATGCTGTTTGAGAATATATTAGGCAGTCCACTGAAAGCTCCTGTGCATCTGCTACCATATTTTGTTAAGTATGGATAGCAACATCATCATACCTACCTCATTAGACTGCTGTGTAATCTGTTGATAAAAAAACTGGGATCGATATGTAAAATAAGAAAAATAAATAGTCAGATAGGTAAATAATATATAAGTTGTAGCTGTTACTGTTACCGTATGTCTTAATATCAGAAATACCACTTGCTATTAGAAATTTTCTGTTTCTCCCAAACTAACAGACGCTTTCACTTACATTTTGTAAACTGAGTTAAACAAAAGTAGGATTCACTGGTTTTCTACCTTTAAAGACAATCAAAGCATATTTATAAAATAAAGAGGGGTGAGCTTTATTATCATACATGTATATAATACACTTAGATCATATTCAGTCCCCATTATTTTTTCTTAGTCTTCCTCTCCTGTGCCTGGTATTCCTCTTCTTCCCAAATAGCTACCTTAATGCCCCCCCCCTTATATATGGGTTCTACATATGAGAGAAAATGTGTAATGTCTAAGAAAAGTGCCTTGTATACATGTTCATGTACACACACACTCTCTCTCTCTGCTTTGATTAGCTTTAACAGAGACTATATAGCATTATCAAGTGAAAATATCTTAGTTCCAAAATGTTGGAAACAAAAACAAGAAGACCTTTATAGTCTATTAACTACTATACCAAAATAATGATTATTGTACAAATAGTGCAGATGCCCTTTTTCAGACTGTATATTGTAATCATAGTCTTTCCCTTTCCTACCTCCTCCCAGATCCTCACTGCCTGCCCAACTTTGTGCTCCATCTCTCTCCCTCCTTCCCCATCTCCAACATCAAAAACTAATCAAGTCACAAACAAATAAATAAAACAAGAAGTACACAAAAGCCATGGAGTCCATTTTGTGTTGACCAAATACTCCTGGCATGGGTCCTGCCTGGAGTGTCGATGTACCCAGTGACCTCCATTTTCCCTGTTTCAGCAGGTGTGAATTGCACATAGGTTCAGTCAAGAAACAGAAGCATATGTTGTATCTCAGCGTACTGTACACACAGGAGTGTGTCTACACTGATATGTAAGCGCTATGAAATGGCCTCCTTATTTTAGCCACAATGATGTCATTGTTCTTTCCTTTTATAGATGTTCCTTGTACTCTGTGAAATTATTGTACAACTCACTAATGAACTACTAATGGTCCATGAAAAAAAGTTGATATTGTACAATTTCAAATATTTTGAAATTACAAATTTTAACTGGTATTAAATTTCAAAAGTGTAACTATTCTTAATGGTGGCTACTAGCTTAAATTATTTTTCTCTCCTATTAATCAGGTCTCAACGTGGTTTTTCACCACCTTTTCTGTCTCAGGATTGAAGGATAAAATCCACCACATAGACAGCCTACACCAGCTCTTTAATGCCATATCACCAGAGCAAATAGACTTTCCTCCTTTTGTCCTTGAATATGATGCCAGGGTAAGTGCCTGTTCTCTTTTGCCGTGTGTAATGTGCGAACGTGCCACGTAGAAGCACTGTGAGCATGTGAGTGTGAACATCCTACAGAGCAGCAGGTGTGAGCATTTGAGTGTAAACATGCTGCAGAGCAACAGGTGTGAGTGTGTGAACATGCCATAAAGCAGTAGGTGTGAGCATGTGAGTGTAAACATGCAGCAGAGCAGCAGCTATGAGCTTTGAACCAACAATTGAGTATTTTTCACACAATAACCTTAGGAAAAGTTCTTATTCCAAGAGGGTTTCCCAGTCATGAATTTGAAGCTGTTCTTTGGTTATGTGGACAGTTTCTATTACATCGCAAACTTTCCTTAAGATTGAGGCTTTTTAGCTATTTGAACAGCCAGACTGCATTGGTATCCACTTGCAGCATAGACATTAAGTCAGGTAGCCTCTCTCAGTAGCCCCTGCCCTGTTATGAGTTGTATTTTCTGAAAGTTATGGTAATGTTTTTAATATACCTACCATATTAGCAATGGTATTTATAGGTACATTCATAGATCTATTGCTGAAGAACTAATCACATGACTGCTCTGAAATGTCACTAAAGTTCAATTGTGTGTATTCACAGCATCACCTTTATAATATTTTTCAACTGAGAACTTTGCCAAAATTTAGTCAAGTACCTTGTCTAACTGTTGCTGATTATATATCTTTATGCATGAGCCAGAAGACATATTGGAAAGTAATAATGAGGTTTGAAGTATTCTCCCCTAATTATTGCCCAACATGTTGTATATCATTAAATAAAAGTCATGCAGGATATTTCTCTCTAAAGTTTCTTCAACCCCAACAATGACTTCTATTCCCCTTCTGTAGAGAACGAAGTATTTACTTCTAATAGCTAATAAACTTTCACATTTGGCCGTTGCACAGAAAGGATTTGTAATTGGAACAGCTGGATCATAGAAAGAAGATTATTCAATATATGAGATGGGAAAAGGCTTTATCAGTTTGTATTTTCTTGAAATTGGAGTAAAAACTGACTATTGTTTGCCTTTGAACTATACTTGTCATGTGTGAATTAATAGCAGGAAATGTAAAAGGCACAAAGGAACATTTGGATACCAAAAATTTGAATGACATGTTTAAGCTACTATCTAAATGTATAATATTTTTTTTCCTGCAAGTACAAAAAGACTACTCCACCAGACTCAAGTTCACTTTTGTTTTGCCTGTGTGTTTTAGCTTTCTGTTGTTTTGAATGTCAAAAAGGATACAGTGACAGGATCAGCCAAAAAGGAAATATAACTTCTAAACTAACAATTGATTCATTAAACCATCTCTTTCCATTTATGCTAGAGTTTTCTAGAATGGAGATATTATACCATCTGTCTATGAGGACCAATGACAGGCATAAAAATAAAGGAGTTGAGGTGTGAGGAGGAGACAGTTCAGGTACTGTGCATGCAATGCTAAAGGGTGGGCTTTGCAGTCAGTGGGGAGTGTTCTGCAAGGGAGAGCTGCCTTTGCATTCCTGTGCAGAGAGACAGACCCATGTGGAAGAGCAGAGAGGCAAGTCTACAAGAAGGATTCATTCAGCCTTAGCTGAGACCAAAGTGAAGCTGTGCTGCTGAGGGTGGCAAGGCTTTGAAGTCAGGAGGTATTTGGAGACAAAGTAGCTGTGGGAGATGGAGAAGAAAGCAAGTGCTTTTGATGGGTGCCATTTCTATTACCCCAGAGAAGCAATGTGAGGGAAAGTCTTGAGAGACTTGGGAAAGGTTCAGGTAGTGTGTTTAGTTTGTGACACAGGGTTTATGGGATGTGGACCTGAAACACCAGGAGGTGGTTGGATAATGATTTGTAAGGAAAATTTGAATCATACTTAGAAAAATGAGTACAGAGCTGGCATACTTTTTGTTTAGTTGTGCCACACACTTGATAGCACATAATAGATTCTTTATTTTGTAAAGGACTGAATTGGTGTTGATAGCTATCAGTTTGAGTGGACTTAAACTGTTTCAAAGATTTATATCCTTTAGAAAATCAACGGTTTCTGTAAGATTAAAAGGGACCAATGGAAAGTAGTTGAAAGGTAATTTTTATCTAGATAAAAATAATACTGAAGCAGCTTCCAGAAAAGAGGGAGTCAGCATTCTTACAAATAAAATCAGAGTATGCCATTTTGAGTGGTGAGAATTCTTTAAATTATTGTGATTGTTTCCAGAAATAGAGAGGCTAGTTGATGGCTCAGCGGTCTCCTGTACAGTGTGAAGTTAATGGAGGTCTGGTCTGTTTCATGGCATTGCATATCAGACATGCATGCACCATTAGTTTGCCACAAAAATCAATGCAAATCTGAAAAACTCTGCAAAATAGCACAAGTGAATAGAAGAGAACGTTTATAGAGGTATTCAGAATAGATTTCTCTTCAGAGATATGTTTCTTGGGGCATTATTTTCTGCATAGTAAAAATGCAGAATTGCTTAGATTACAGATCATGATAGACATGCTAAACTGCAAACTATGTATTTTCCCCCCAAGCTTCCAGAAATGTAGCCAATTCCAAGGGTTGTTTCTATTTTCTTCCATCCCCCACCCCCATACCTGGTCAGATTTCCTTAGTATCAGAACGTCTTTGATGTCCTTTTGATTACCTGACCCTGGTTATGACACCAGGGTCAGTTCTTGCTCAAAGCACCTTCTCTGAAGAATGGCTGAGCTTCTGGCCCATTTCTACTCTGATAACATTAAATTGCCCACTAGGTCTATTCAGGGTTGCTGTGACTATAAGGTAAATGCCATGGAGCAATCTGTTTCCTCCTTCTTTCTCCTCACTCCTGACTGGTGCCTTATATTCATAGTAAGCATTTCTGCTCGTGGCTTACTGAAAGACATATTCTTTGCCAAAGAAATACTTTTGCGAAAAGTGAAACTCTAGTCTTACATCTCAGAAACCTAATCTAGGATCCTCCTACCATAAAGTTAACTGCCTTGTTTTTAACCATGATTATCCAAAGTGGGAGCCAAAGAATTCCTCCTTACACTACTTGGCTGTTTTCAACATTTGACATTAAGCTTCTGGCATTTAAATCTCCATCTTGATGTGGAGCTAAATGGCCTTAGAACTGTAATCTTTACAAGCCTTGCCACTCGGGTATGTCATGAGGCTGCCTGCTGCCAAACAATGACAGCTACTGAGTTCTTCAGAAATCGTTTTTATTGTTCCATAACTAAATGAAGAATCAGCGATGGGAGGATAACACTGTCTAACAAGAATCCAGTGTCAACATAGACTTATCTTTAAATCTCAGCTCAGCTTTTACTCAGGAGGTACTTTAATTGAATTATATAATCTGAGTGCTCTTCGTTTCCCTTGTCATTAAAATGAGAATGTTGCCTATTCTGTGATATGTAAGAATTTGCTTAAAGGGGCAGTGAAAACAAGGAGCCTTTAAATAGTCCAGCACCTAGAATGTTCAGTAAGCAACGCTGTTATTAAAGCACATTGTCATCTTGTGGCTTCTCCCTTCTTTACACCAGCTATGACACGCTCCAGTGAGACTGCTTGGCATCAGATATGTGCTGGACATTTCAAATGCACTTTCCCGTTTATTGCAAGTCTCTGTCTTGCATATCCTCTTAATTTGCCTTGTTGCCTAATGGTCTCATCGTTTTCTCTCTCTCCACAGGAAAATGGGCCTTATTTTGCATCTTATCCTCCATCACCAGATTTGTGACCTGCCATCTTCCCAGTACTTCTTCATCACGGAATTCCATTTTACCACAACTCACCACCCATTGAAGTGATGTTCATTTTTGCTGTACAGATCCAGAGAGCTTTTGTCCCCACCTCTCTGGTATTTTTTTATTGACTATATATTTTCTGGCACATAAACAATCTAAAACTGGTAGGCCATACTGAACTGCATACGTTTTAAATTTGTATATTTGTATCAAATGGAAATGTTTGTTTTTAGAGCATTAATAGAAACTGGGGATCAACTTTTGAGTGTCTTCAGTTTCCTGGACTCTGGACTCTATGTTACAAGGCCACCAATGTTGTTCACATCATCTCTTACAGTGCACGGTTCAGACTGTCTGTTACACAGGCCAGCAACACTGTTCACAGTGTCTCCTAAACAGTGTACACTTTGATTCTCGTTACACAGGCCACCAACATTGTTCACAGCATCTCTAAACAGTGCACGCTTCCTTTGTGTATTTAACTGTTTCTCAAAATATATACAACCAATGTATGCTGAATGGATACATTGTTTCCCTCAAACCCAGGCTTTAATACCATTACATTTTACACAAATGATCTGATTATAATATAGAATTGTCCAAGATCAAGAGTATAGAAATGTGTCTAATTGAAACTATAAAAATCTTCATCAAAACATAGGACTTGCAATTTGGTGGCACAAGGTAAAAGTGAGCTGTAAGTTCTTCCTGGATCATATTTCTTAAGATCGACACTGTTCTGGTCTCAGCAGTGTGGGGAACACAAAGGCTGTATCTTCAACTCTTTCTATAATTATGTAACTGGTCTCCTTATCAAAAGAATGTATGTGCTAATAATAGCACTCCCAAGTAAAGAGCATTTCCTAAGACTCCATCCCTGATCACACTGCTGTCTTCTCAGAGTGTCAGTGATTGTGTTGGGTCATTATCTCTTGAGTTGCCTACATCAGTAGAGTGGAAGTGTATAATAGTACACAAATCCAAGGACCTGATAATTCACTTTCTAGAAAACATTGCCACTCAAGCTTTATATGTGCCTTAGCTTGTTTATTGGTGAAAATTGGAATAATGCAACCTACCTCATAGAGGTAACACAAAAATGGCATTTAGAAAGAACTTGGCTGTTCCAGGATGCAGAGGGTTGAGTGAACTGGGGGGGGGGGGGGCGGGTAGGGTGTCTTCAATTAGTCTTAATGTTGATGAGAGTGAATATATGTAAAAGAATTCAGTAAGGCATTCCGTGGGCTTTGGTACCTTATGAGTGATTGAGTTGTATTTGGAGGTGGGGCACAAAAAAAAAAAAAAAAAAAAAAAAATCCACCCCTGACCACTTCCTGCTTTGTAGATTTCTTCTAGCTGTCCTACAATACAGCCATTTAACAAGAGACATCTGTTACCCATTTTAACAATTTCTTCTTGAATTAAGGTCAAAGCATTATCGTTTCCATGTGGGTGTCTTTATAGTCCTTTCGGTGCCCACACCCCACCCACTTCTATCTCTTCCACTGTATCATGCACACTTGCAGTTCAGAGAAGAAAAAGTAGGGTGTTTCTGATCCCATGTGAGAATTTAAAGGGACAGTGAAGACAGGAGCTCTGTCAGTGCTTCCACGACCCATTCCTCCCTCCCTGCCTAATCATTCTTCAGTGAAGGAAAAGAAGCTTGCTTCTCTTTATATTGTTTCATATATTGTTTCTCAGTAGTCATTTGATATTGTTTCATATAGACAAAAAGTGCTGGGTGGTGGCACTCGCCTTTAATCTCTGCACTTGGGAGGCAGAGGCAGGCAGATCTCTGGGAGTTTGAGGCCAGCCTGGTCTACAAAGCTACACAGAGAAACCTTATCTAAAAAAAAAAAGAAGGAAAGGAAAGTGCTTCATATTTCTCAAATAGGTGTCATTGATAGACATAAAAGCCACGCATTTGTTCTGTCTACCTACATGGTAAGGACTTCCTGGTATGTTCTAGGTCATCAGGCACAAGTCAACTATCAGATACAAACTTAATTTCATCATTCTTTTAGCCCTTTCATCCTTAAAATACCTGGAATTTGGCTTCCTCCCTACAGTGATTGTTGGGTCCTTTGATCCCAAGGTATGGCTCACTAGGAATATTATAACAACACACCTGCTCTGTTAATGTGGGACTTTGCTACCCAGAAATGTCATCTGTCCTAAACCATTGTCACCCTACACAATAGAAGTTGTGATCCACCTTGTTATTTGAACAGAGACAATATTATGAATAATATCTGTGTTTTTGTAGACAGTCTCACTATGTAGCTCAGGCTAGCCCCAGACTTGTGATTCCCCTGTCTTGGCCTCTAGAATGTTGGGATTACAAACATATACCACCACACCCAGATCTGTGCAACTTGGAATTTCTTGTAGGCAATATTTCTTAAAGTATATTCCTTTTTGCATATCAATACTAGCCTAATTGACACCTGGATTATAAAGATGGAAAAGACTATACATAGCAACTGTTTCATAGTAATGATACCCAAAGAAAGGAAAGGGCCACTAAGTAAAATACATATAGTGTGGTATTGTTCACCAATCATAATTTTCTAAAGTGTTAAATACTGTTTCTGAGATGGGAGATAGAGTTGCCTAGTAAAATTGTCTTGTACATCTGTTCTGTCAAAAATTTGGATAGCTTTGAGGACACAAGAGGCTTTCAAGACTGTATTAGAGGCTAACAGGGTGATCTGGTATGAGTTTAGATCAGCACCAAGTCCTTAGTTCAGTTAATCATTGGTCATGCCGAATTCTAGTTCAATTGCTAAAAGTACAACCTATAAAATACCAGTTGATTAATTGATAGAGGCAAATTAATACAGGTACATTGCTTCAGCACATACTTAGGTTTTCCCAATTCACACATATCCAAGTTTCTGGATTATAAAATGACCTTTCTCAAGAAAAGTTGAATGTGCTGGACTCTTATAGGCAAGGGTTCATTATTAAAGGTTCCTTAACTGTGTCTCTAGTCTCATTGAGTGAGGCTCTATTATATTAATAGGATTTTTTAGTATTGAATTCTGAAAGTCTTAGAGGAATAAAATATCTTTCCAAAGAAGGGTAAGTATAATCACTATCAGGAGAAAAAAAAAAGTTTGCCCATGTCTTCTGGTGATTTTGTTTGCTTGTTTTTATTAAATAATGGAACTATAGGAATGGGGCTATAACTCCATGGTAGAGCATTTGCATAATATACACAAAAGCCTAGCCCCAGCACCACAAAAATAGAGGTAAGTAGTGTGGATTTTTGGGGGGGGGTGTTTTTTCGGGTGTTTGGGGGAGTAACAATAAGAAAGTGATATTAAAAATCGTTCTCTATTAATATTGTATCTGCATCGTTCTAATTATTTGTTATAGAAATAGAAATCAGAATTTCAAGTATTTGGATAAAGAAAAAGTGTGGTCATGGAACTCTACATTTTGGTATCAAAGACTATAGATAGCTTTATGGTTGGACTTAAGGCTTAAGAGGATTTCTAGTTTGTTCTCTATCTCCATCTCCCCTCACCTCTGGTTCTATACATTGACCCCAGAACCTTGTACCTGCTGGCTAAGCACAATACCACTGAACTATACTACCAGCCTTAGTGTCCTTAAAGTCATCATAAGCAACCTGTAGAAGATTGTTTTAGCTATACTATCTCTATTGCAGCCTCCCAGCTTATAGTTGGTTCTGGATTTGTAACTGCATGAACCCTTAAATCCAAGGTCTCAGTGTGGAAGTCTAGAAAGCTCCCAAGTTCAAAGCACCATATATTTTGGTTCCTGGAGAAGATGGCCCCTTGGCTCTGTCCTTGTAGAGTCAAGGGAAATCATCTCTCACTTTCATGTCATCTGAGCCTCCCAATCCCCACCATCACATTTGAGATTTGGGTATTAACATAAGAATTAGAGTGAGGTACATATGTATGTATGATCTAGAGATGATATGATTTATTAATAGGCTGAGACAGATTTATACATATGCATATAAATGTACATAATTTGCCTTTGTGTTCTTTGACTATGACTTCTGTAATTCATGTGTAAAGACAAAGAGTAATAAGAGTGTCCAAGCTTTAATTTACCTTAAACAAGTGCTACCATGGTCATTTTGAATATCAGTGGCTTTATTTTCTACATTTCTAAGAATAGCTGCTGTACTCAAGAAGACAATGTTCTCTACATGAATTATACTAATAAAATCATAACTTGAATATAGTCATATTAGTTAAAACAGTAACGGTTACCCTCCTTTACATCATAAACTTTTTATAATGTGTTTTGCTAACATGACTGAGTCAGAACTTGGTTACGCCAGATCACATTTCAAGAGCTTAACATATAGAGATGTTTTAAATTGCTGTTGGCTAAAGGACACCTAAAACCATTTTAATAGGATCTTAAAACTTGTTGAGAATGCTACTTACTATGAACACTCTTGTGTTTAAAAATGTTTTGGCTCTTTTAATGTAGTGGTTAAACTTCCCTGTGGAGGACCGGTCAGTAGTGAAAATTACCAGGTTTTCACTGAATCAATAGAACTTTGCAGAGGCAGGTGGATCTCTGTGATTTTGAGGTCAGCCTGACATACAAAGCTAGTTTAACCAGGGTCACCTTTGTGACCATGGGTTTGGAATTCTCTACTGGAGCATGATGGACTCCTTGATGGCTATACAATCGAAGACACTGACTGCCTCTCCCCAGCATCCATCAGTAGGGATTTATAGAGAAGGCAGCATTTCACCTTCTCCCTTTCTTCTGGCACTTACATTTCTTCCTTTCTCTTCTACCATAATCTTTAAGCCCTGGGGAATTGATAATAAATGTCCAGATGAGAACTGAGCACTTATCTGTCAATTATTTCCATCTCCATGAATAGTCACATAATGCTGTTTATTGCAAAGAGAAGCTTACTGACTGGGTCTGGGAGGAGCATTTGTCTATGAATATAAATATTTAGAGGGAGGCTTAGCACCAAGACATTTGACCTATGTCAATAGTAACTTACCCCCTTATATCGCGGTTTAATAAGGATCAGGATAAACAAATAGGCCGAACAGATGTTTATTCAGGGATAAATAACTTACAACCTAGACAGATGAACACCAGCAGGTTCCACCAGATACTCTCCTCTCGGCTTCCCGCCAGCCAGAGAGCGTTCCCTGGCTCCTCCTCAGACCTAATTCCGTAGGTCACTTCCACCCCTGGTTCTACCCCCCCCAATGGGTGTGGTCAGTGCCACAGAAGCAGAGCCCAAAATTTCCTCCACTATAGGTTTTAAATTAGTTAATTCTTTCTTGTGGAGGAGTCTCAAATCCAAGTAGAGATTATTTGGTTACCCCATAACAGTTATGTCACTATTGCACCAGGTAGACACATCTTGCCTGGCAGATTGGTGGTGTAAGGTTCATGGCTAGATGAGACTGTTGATGCCTTTATTTAGCCTATGCAGCTTCTTCCCACAAGCCCAGCAGAAAGGAAGCTTCCAGCTCAGTTCCTCTGATTTCCCTGTG